TGATTCTAGTCGTATACCGCATATAAGAACCTGTCACGGTTCAATGAACCTGCCGCAAAAGTTAGCTGGAGCGAGGTGCAGCTTCTGCACAAAAAATATGCCGATATGCGCATGTGTTTGGACCGGAAGTTAGGAACATGGCATCGGTTAGTTGACCAGACCCGTATATGTACGCTTCACCACAGAAAAAACATGTACGGTGCACTGTGTTTTGTTTGACTCCAGCGATTCATTTCGATGATTCCACTACTTCGATTTCACTACTTCGATGTTTTTTTTTGCATTCCCGACACTTTCACAAAATGCGTTCGTATGTACCGTACCCAGAGACACGGTATCTTCTGCGTTGTTTGAAAACTTGATAATTTATCATTAACCTGGTGTACTATAAGAAACCGGAAGTGTCGCACACGCTGGTTTAGTTCTGTTATGTTCTGTTGTTCAATGTTATACAAGCTGGTTGCTTATGTATATACCACACGGTACATTCACGATAATTATTAGTAAGTTACTGCACCTAAACATGTGATTAAAAAGGCTATTGGTGACCTGGAGGCTGGATGCACCGTACACTCACACACAGTAGATCAGTTAGTAAGACAATGGTCACAGTTCACAAGTAGATGACACATCATGAGTGTATATTATATTGGTAATATAACTTCTAAGAATATCAAAATTACTAAATATATAACAATTAACAAATTAATTAAATAAATATGTTTAACTGAGGGATGTTTTAACCTCATTACTCATTACCGTGTTCGAATTTATTACAGCAAAACTTGTACCGACGAATAAATATAAAAAAGAATAAAAAATTTCTGTTATATAATCTGTTAAATATAGGTAAAAGAATTATTAACTAAAAGTGAACAAAAATTATTATTGTTTAATCGGCCGGAGCGTAGCGAAGCTCCTCTATATTCAGTACCAATGCAAAAATGTGTCTGTGTCGGGTACGGAAGTTCGTTACGGAAGTAATTTAAGAGACAGCAAAAATAATAAGTAATGCAAATTTCGCCTTAGCAACGCTCCAGTCTGCCAATGCACGTCAAAGTGCATTTTTATATAGTAAAACGATAATTGCAATGAATTTAGAAAATTTCAGTTCAGAATATTTTATAAGTTGGCACAAATTATAAAATTTTCAGCGGAAGTAAATATAAATAATATGTAAAAAGGAATAATAAAAATAATAATGTCTGAACAGGAATAAAAATTTATTTTCCACTGAAATGTTGTTAATTTATTTTATCCGCAGTAGAACTAACCAGTAAAAAGTATAGGATTATCCAAAAATAGATCGACGATCCGCGCGATAAAAATAAAGGGAACTGTAGTAGGCGAAAATGTGGCGCCCATGTACAGCACCCCGCCAACCACTTCCGGTCAGCAGCGGGAGCTCCACCGCCCGAACAGCCTCAACAGCAATAATAATAATAATAATAACGCCCTGATGGCGATGGGCAGCGCCAACTACAACCCGTTAGTGGAGGCGCTGCGGACGGTGCCCTTCCGGCTGTTCCGGCACCTGTACATCCTGATCACGGTGGCCGGCGAGGGCATGAAGCAGATCCCCCTGCAGATCGCCAAGAACATGCAGGCCCGCCTGCCGCCCTACGTCCGCGAGATCCCCATGGAGATGGCCAAGTCCGTGTCGGAGGCGTTGAACATCCATTTCAACAGCTTGAGCCAGCAGGTCAAGGACACCGTCGAGCAGGTGCGCCAGCTGCTGGAGGACGGCGGCGCCGGGGTCGGCGATGGACGGAGATAACGTGTGCATTTAGCGGTGATTTAGTTTGTTTGACCGGTGTTTGTCTTTGGCTGCAGTATTTATTTTAATTATTTGAGAAGAAATTTATGCAGTATATCACTGTATATGGAAAAAAATAGAGTATCTGTAGATGTTGGCTGGTGGCGAGCGGTTAGTCCACTCTTTCGCATGGCAATATTCACATGGCTAGTACTGCTACGTAGATAACACATACCCGTATTTTCGCAATAATTCGGTCACTTTTAATTGCAGTGTTTTATTAAATTATTATTGTTAGCTTTCGATATTTCTATACCGTAAGATCCGATATTAACGCTCTAGGTCTTTATTTTTTCGTGACCTACAGGAGGGGGCGTTTAAAACCGCACGGGGCGTTAATTTCAGGGTCGTGGGAGCGTTAACATCGGATTTTACGGTATATCGATACACGGCAAAAAAAAACAACTCAAAGTATAAGCACTTTTTAAGAGATTTACATCAGTATGTTTTTTATTGTTTTCGCTCTCACTGGCACCAATTCCTAAATGCTGCGCGCTACATGAATAACTGTTGGTTGCAAAATTTGTTTTTAACCTTGTACCTTCACAGGCTTCACTGCTCTGTACTTGCGCACTAATTAAAGAGTAAAGCAAATGGAAATTGTTGAAATTTGTTTAGGTGGAAGACCTCTCCATTTGCATCGCACCCGCCCTAGTTAATTTCTGTTATTTATTGTTTGTTTTAAAGAGAGTGATTGATGTTTACATTATAAATATGGTTTGCGATTCTGGAGCCAGGTATTTACTACCACACCTTCGTTAGGAAATATTCTAACACACCTGATAACCAATAATTATGAGAACGTTATCGTACAATTACGTGTCCAAGATGTGTATGTCAACGTCAATAATCGAAGTTCAGATACGTACTGATGATTTCTGATACATAACGACGATACTGGTGAGTGGTGCGTGCCTCGAGGGGTCATTAAACCAGCTCAACAGCAAGCTACTTAGGGTCATTAGAAAAGCATTCTGGCAACCGGATGCTGCACGCATTTAACAATGTATATAAATCATTTGGTTACAAAATGTCATTACACAGTAAAAAAGGGCGTTTTGCAAGTTCTCGTTACGTGTACACGAATTTACAATTGTTAGTACCTGTAACGTAAAGGTACATGCAGAAATCTAATACCCGTACCGATTTACCACAAAGACAAAATTTATTTCCCTCTGGTTTCAAGGTAATCATAAAGAAGAATTTAGAGCAATATAAAGAATTTAGAGCGATATTTAGCTTGCATCAGAAATTTAGAAGCCTAGAGAGTTAGAGAGTGTAAAAATGTAACATGCCGCGCCGTATTACGGAGCTGGCCGTAACCCGTTAACTTGTATTTTGCGCTGTGCTGCCGCGCCAGAAATTACGGTCACGCTAGTGGCGGCATCGTTCGGGCAAGGGAAAAACGCAATAGATTTAATTTCAGATGTTTTAATAAACTGTTTGCACACAAATACCTGTTCCCTTGGATTTTATTTTGCACCAAAAGTTTTAAGGCCAGCATATTCCTCTATTACCGCGACTACAGCCTAAAGGTATACAGATAATAACATCATCAAGTAATCATCTAACGCTTAATGACGTGTCTCTTTCTTATAAGCTGAAAAAGTTAAAAGATGTAAGCAACACTTCGAAAAATCTTTAAATGTGCTCCCAGAACGCAATACAATGCAGATAGGGTCACATATCTGTACTCCCGGGCCTGAGTCCCGGCTAGTCACTAAGGGATTTGGCCCGGTACATAGCACCGAATTTGCATACATCCACGGCAACTTTCGCTGTCGCGCACTCCCAAACACTTTTTTCCATTGCTTTATGATATTTTGTACTTTGTAGCCAAAGGATTCGTAAACATAGGCGAAGAAACCGTTTGTGCGCGCAACATCCGGTTCGGGAGTTATTAGTGAAATAAAATTGCAAAAGTTTAAACGCGCGGAGGTGTACCAAAAGTCTCATTATGAACCGATGCTCTTCAAATTTTGCACGAAAACGCACATTATCATGAAGATCGTTTTGGTACCGAACCAGCTTTCTACCATTTTTTTCAAATTTTAAAATAATTTTTTAAATTTTTGAAATTTATTTTAAAATTTGAAAAAAATGGTAGAAAGCTGGTTCGGTGCCAAAACGATCTTCATAGTAATGTGTATTTTCATGCAAAATCTGAAGAGCATCGGTTCATAGTGGGACTTTTGGTGCACCTCCGCGCGTTTAAACTTTTGGAATTTTATTTCACTAATAACTCCCGAACAGGATGTTGCGCGCGCAAACGGATTTCACGCCTACGTATATAAATCCTTTGGCTACAAAATGTCATAAAGCAATGCATAAAAATGTATAGGAGTGCGCGACAGCGAAAGTTCCCTTGTATGTACCCGACTTTGGTGCTATGTACCGGGCCAAATCCCTTAACAAAAAGCTACGAACTTCGATTTAAGAAACAGCTAGAATCTGCCGTTTGGTGTAGCCCCCAGAAACTCAGTAAAATATTCAAAAGCAGAATCAAAAATTCAAAGTTTTCTTATCAAATTTTGAAAATCAAATCCTTCAAGCAGCCATAGCGGCGGCGAAACTGTAAGTAGTAATGTTAAGAACGGTTGTCCATACTGTCCAGATACCTGACAGTAGCTGGAATGAGCTACTGATAAAAATATTCGGAAGTATGAATAAAGACACTTCAAGAATCATACTTTAATAACCTAATTGTACAAAGTTCAACGTACTTGGAGAAATGGTGATGGATGAGGACGTTGCTCTTTTTAGACTGGAATATCATCTATCACTGATTGTACAGTTATAGACAGCATTCCAGCATAAACAAAACATAGTAATACACTGTTCAGGATTGCGTTGTTAACATTTTCCTTCTGTGCATTATAGCATAACGTACAGATACATGTATCAAGCATATATCAGCATCCGACGAAGGGCCCACCGAAGAACTCCGCAACTAGAATCGCATGCAAAAGGTAGGAATTACAGCTTCGGCAGCTAAAATGCGTACTGGTGTTGACGCTGCAGGCGACTAGCGCTGCAACCGGTTTCTGTCCAATAACTGCCTTATATAACTGCAGTAAACCGTGCTATGAAATAATCGCGGTAGAGTCGGTCAAGTTCGAGTGCACGAATAACAGTCAACCGATATGTACTGGGAATAAACCACTCCTGTACCATCACCGTTTAACCACGCTAACGGAAACATCCGTTAATTCCGGAAACTTAGCCGAAGCTAAGCTATTCTACGACATGTATCATCATCATAGACTCATAGTCCAGCGAGCAAATAACATTGTTATAAGTTTTTTTATATTTATGAAAAACGGTAAATAATAGCAGTCATGGATGCTTCGTTACCGGGCGGCAGTCGGGTGGATCAGACGCCGGGCGATGGGAAATCATGGACGGTAGTTACTAGTAATACCAGCTATTTTTTCTCGATCTGCCGAACGTATGATGGCTGTTTTTCCAGACCACGTTCAAAGAGTTGGGAATGCAGGCGACACAGAATTTCGATCCGCTAAAGCAGTTCAAGGCACACTTCTGCGGATTCGCATTCTACAAGTAAGTGTAACTGCCAGTGTCCTTTCTGTCTGTATTACCTAAATGCGACATGAGAAACAGCTGATATACTCACTGTACAGTGGGCAACCGAACCGGCAAGTGGAGTTGCACCACTACGTGGCAGCCATCAACGACGACGTCTTCCAGTGCGCCGTCTTCGACTCCCCGGACGCCGGCGCCCGGCTGATCGGCATCGAGTACGTGGTCACCGAGAAGATCTTCTGCATGCTGGACGAGGAAGAGCAGAAGTTCTGGCATAACCACGCGTTTGACGTCAAATCCGGTACAAACATCGTTAATCGCGAATTTCAGTTACCTATTTACCGTACTCTAGGTTTCTAAGACACAATGATGGACTAAAAAATTAAGAGCATTAAGGGTATTCGAAACTGAAAAAGCGACGGAATACGCGGCGAATGCATGGAGGCGCGAAAGCTGAGTGAGCGCGCTGGAGATAAGATAACGGGCGCATGTACGTGCCGTTGTATGAAGATTCACGCCATACGCGGCCAGAAAAGCTACTCCGGAGTAGCTATTCTGGCCGCGAATCGCGGGAAACGGCGATTTCTCTCATACAGCGTCACGTACACGCGCGCGTTATCTTATCTCCTGCGCGCTCACTCAGCTTTCGCGCCTCAATGCATGCATTGAGGCGCGAAAGCTGAGTGAGTATGCAGTCGCTTTTTCAGTTTCGAATACCACCATTATTCAGCCAGTCGGTCCGCGGTTCCAAATTTAATAATAAAATCAACAAGGTGTGCAACAGAAAGCATCTGTCGATTCAGTATGCGTTCAACGAAGTATTTAAGTACTTTTTTTAGTCACATTGATCATTGGCTATTTAGCAGGCAAGAGTCTCGTCTGTTATCGGAGTTAACCAGACTACCAAGCAGAGTCTGTAGGACTGTGCATATAACTTGGCCCAAAAAAGGGGAAAACGGCCAGTCGGTCCGCGGTTCGAAACATTTTAATAAGATCATCAACCTGAGAAGCGCTTGTTTTTGCAATACGCGTTAAAACGGAGCATCTACGCTTTTTATTCTTAAACAGGCAGCTTCATCGCGCCGGGGCTTCCATGGGCCCTGGAGAAAAAGGTCATGGCCGACATGATGCCAACGTACGGGAAAACGTTCATCCTGTGGCAGACGGATCGCGGCGATAAACTGCCGTTGGGTGCGCTGGTTTAAATGCTTCTCGTATAAACGAAATAACGAAGGTTAGTGCACGCTTTAGGACCCCCACAGCTGATGATGACCGCCAACGCCGACGGGCAGTGGCAGGACAAGCTGTTCCGGACACGGGAGCAGCGCCGCGGGGCGCACTACAAGTTCGCCGACATTCTGACCAACCGCGAGGAGATGGTGATGCCGCCCATCCATCCCGGCTGCGATCAGTGGGCGACGGATCTGCTGGCGCTGCAGTGCAAGATGGAGCGCGTCATCAGCGAGGATTACAAGGACTGAATTCTAATCTGAACTGGGAATTACAGTTGTATGAAATTATGTACTGTTCAATTCGTATTTGTAAATTACAACCATAAGCTCGTAAATCATTTCTAAATTCCGAATACAATTGGTCTATATTTCTGAATAACTAGTTGAAGCGGCGTGATCTTTACCGGTTAATAATAAAGTATCTGGCACTCAGAATATGTATTGCATTTACCGATTTTTATGTCTCCTAGTCGAAAACAGGCTGGAACTGAACAGGTCAGATGGGAATTACGACTATAATGCCAGAATTAAAAAATGAAAATCAGCCATTCGGTCACAAACGTAAGAAGACAATCATCTAACGGTTTGCAAGTGCAAGTTGTGCAAACACAAGAACATCATTCAAATTATGTAAACTGCCAGAGTTCAAATAGAGAGGCGCTGTTTTGCACAATCCGCATTAAAATCAAGTATCTGCTTAATATTGTGCAGCCTTATAATATTACAGTCGTGTTTCAAGCAAGTCTTTGATACCCGCAACGCTCATGAAGCACAGCCGGTTCTTTTCGTACTTGGTTTCCAAGACACAAATGAACCGGAAGAGCGCCTCCATGCTGGCTTCGTTCTCCATGCCGACGGTGAAGACTGCGCCCAGTCTATCCATCAGAAACTGGAACAGCCGAATCGCGGCTTCGTGGCGTTTGTTAACCAGCAAGTCGATGCTGTCGTGGTGCGTGATGGGCGTGCCCAGATGGAACTGCTTGATGTCCTCGTAAACCGACAGATTGTACACCAGATCCAGATCCTCCACCGGTTGCACGCGTCGCACCTTCTGCTCGCTCTCCACTAAATGGATGCGCTGCCGGCCGCCGTGGACCGGCTCGAGATTCCGCCAGAAATCGCTGGACATGATGACGATCATCGGGTTGTTGACGCCCAACAGACCGAGAGAAGTGATGGGCAGATCGATGCGGTCGTTGCCGAAGAAATGAGATCCTTGGGATTTCCTTCGTTGGTCATCGAGACGAGTAACTCGAGCATCTCCTCCGGAGTCCATCCACGCAGTCCGATTGAGTCCACAAAGTCGCTGACTTGGATGATATCCACGGTTCCATCTGTCGTTAACATCCTAACACCGAAAAGCCTAAAGCGAAAATTTTTAACATAAACTGTAAAGATTCCGTATGCCTAATCGTTGGGTAAGAAAAAATTAATATTCTACAACCAGAGATTTGCGGAACCACAAGAATCTGCGCTGTTCCCGGAAGGCAGGTAGGGCCAGTTACAAACTAGTTGTGCAATAATGATTATAAGTAATAAATAATATAATACTCGTACAATCGCATGTACGTGTACTCTATAATTCGCATCAGTGCTTCTACTGTAGTCTGTAAGTAATTTCCCAATGAACACCACATAAACACAACATGCATTCTAAATTAAAATCGGATACCGTAAAACCTGATATTAACCCCCGCCCCTCCCCCACAATCAACGCCCCGGGACGTTTTAAACGCCTACGCTAGCCATCTACCACGGTGCATATTAGGCTCATTAGCTAAATCATCCTTTTCTGTCTTGATAGTTACATAGTACTAGTACATATGTACCTTGATGCTTGTAATAAAAATCCCATTAAAACTGGGGCATCAAAGCGCGTTAATAATTTAAAATATTAGACGCCCCCCGTAATAAACGCCCCCTGAGGTTATAAGCGCCCCCCACCCCCCGCCTGAAGCTCTCAAAAAAAATGACCCAGGGCGTTAATATTGGATTTTACGGTACTTATTATCCGAAAAACTTGAATTTGCTCTTAACATTGGTAATGTTTAAACCATTGTCCGTGACTGATTTGCTAGTCAATTCTTGTGGTACAGTACAGTCTGCGCTTAGCGCTGGTGCAGCGAAATTTGGTATGGATATACTGCACTCTTCTGCACATTAGTCATTAGTCACTGTAGGTTGTAGAATGCAGATTAAGACGATATCTTTGGTGCTTCAGTTATCAGCTTGCACATCAAGTTCATGTTAACAGAGGAAAGCGGCATTCGCTGCTTGGAACATTAAAGCATAACAGACTTTGAAATTCACAGTAAGCGTGCTCGAACCTAATAATTTACAAGCAACTTTAAACTTTTGTCCTGATTCAAAAACTTTGCTGCGATGGGGAACAGCAATTCCGTTACGGACGACACAGTGCAGCACATTGGCCGTACTATGCAGTATCGCTACTCTCATGTAGATGATTTCATTGGAAAGGGTTCCTACGGCATTGTCTACAAAGCGAAAGTTGTCAAGCGTGGTGATTATGCTGGGGACGATTTTGTTGCTGTTAAAGTGATGCAGATCTGTATTACTTCCGAAGCACTTGCTGACCACGACAATTTGGAGGAAGCCGTGAGAAAATTAAAGAAACTTATTGCGCTCTCTCACGAAAATCTTGTAAAGTATCATAAAATTTCAATCACAAAAGTTCGCGTCGGAGCCACCGTCGAGCTAGCAATGGACTACCATGAAGGTAAGGCAACTTTTGACCTGAGAATTCTTCTAAACGCATTAGTTTGGCTTAAGGAAAATTGCCCGGTATATGGCGCTTAAAGTGGTATACAATACTACTACACATACGCTAAAACTTTCGCTTTCGTGTACTCTGATTTCCAGAATCACTTTTTTGTAATACTCGTACTTTATGTGGTGCAAATTGATTTGTATACATTGTTTTGAAAACCGTGTGCGCGCGCAACATCCGGTTGCCGAGATATGGCGAACAAAAATGCACAAGTTTAAATGCATTGTCGCGTATCAAAGTCTGGATATTACCCGATCTTGTTGAAACTTTGCGATAAAGACAAATGGCCTTATATTCGAAAGTGAACTAATTTGAGATTCATAGTACTTTCCCATAATTTTTAAATGGATTTTTAATTTTTTGAAATGTGGTTTAAATTCGAAAAAAAATGCTATGAATCTGATAATAATGGTGCCATTTCGACTTTAAGGGTATGTGTCTTTTACCGCAAAGTTTCAAGAAGTTCGGGTAATAACCAGACATTCGATACGCGACAACGCATTTAAATTTGTCACCCATTTTATTTCGCCATATCTCGGCAATCGAATGTTGCGCGCGCAAACGGATTGCAGAGCAACGTATACAAATCAATTCTGCTTTAACGACATAAAGTATTACAAAAAAGTGATTCAGAGTGCCCGGAAGTGAAAGTTTAAGCGTATGTATAGTAGTATTGTATACCATTTTAAGCACCATATACCGGGCGATTTCCCTTACCTACTACAAAGAAAATATTTCAGGGGACCTCGGGAAGTTTTTGCGGGAAGCCAGGCACAACCGCGCCCTCTTGAGAAGTTATATGAAAGTTTCCCAGCTTGTGACGTGTATAGCCCGAGGACTGGAGTTCCTCCATGCGAATCTCATAATTCATGGAGATCTTAAACCAGGAAACGTTCTTGTGGCGATCTCGGAGCGCGGTCGCAGGAATTTGTTGATCAGTGACCTAGATGACATCGTTCACATGCAAGGTAATGCAACATGTTCGGCAGACCTTGCGCAATTACGCGGCACCAAGCGCTACATGTCGCCGGAAATGCTGAGAAAATTTTCCCAAATATCAACCGAATCACCGGGTCGGAAGACTGACATCTGGAGTCTTGGTTGCATAATTCTGGAGATGGCCGAGATATCCTGTGGTGTTCAGAGGAAACAGCTCGTGAAAGACGGGGATGTTGTTGAAGATGATCTTACCGATGACCAGTACGTCATCAAGATTATAGACGGTTACGTGCCCTTTGTTAGCAACGACATTGCAGGGGAATTAGCTAGTCCTATCCGGAAATGTCTGCAGCCAGTGGCTGCAGAAAGAATATGCGCGAAAGAAGTAGGGCTTGCGCTTTCGAAAAAACAAGTTATATTACTTTTTAATGACCGCTCTGAATTTGACCGCACTTTTTTGATATTGTTCGATCCTGTGACTGGTTGCTTCAAGATTGAAAAATTTGATAATGCCCCAGCATCCTTACGCAACCGCAGAAGCGAAATCAGAATACATCACGGTCAACTAGGAGAGGTAGAAAGGATATTCGAAGTCTGTTCAAATTCCTCCAACGGTAGACGCACTGGCGCGTCTAGGGGGTCGCCAGAGCAGCCATGGCCCCCCGTAACCTGGACGAGATCGAGAGAATACCCTTTTGTGATCGGGACCCTTTCGTGTGAGTTCTCTGGCTCCCCCTCCGAAACCCGCCTACATTCGCCACAGGGTAGACTTTCGATCTTTTTTCTTTGGAATCTGAGCAAAGAAACATGGCGCGAGATAATACTTCCTTCGGACGTGTGCCTTGCAAAAAGGCTGATCTTGATTAACAACAAGTGTTATTACTGGAACTGGGATGCCCACTTTATGAAAATGGACATAAAATCTGGCACAACTGCTGCTCTGGATAATGGTACAACAGCAATGAGGTAAGTAAAACGCTATAAAAACTGATCTTCTTTTACAGTGGACGCACTGGGTTTGGGTTCTATCGTATTTTTTCTACAGGGTTGAATTAGGTTCGTCCACTGCATTAGCAATAACAAAATGTGGCGAGCACATATATTATGCTACTGCGTCGACATTGTGCGGGTACGATACGATGGCCGACAAATGGGAAGAACCGCGCAAACTGCCCGAGTGGCGAACAAAGTTTGCAATGGGCGTGGTAAACGGCTACATTTACATTATCAGTGGGCGTAGCTATATGCGGGGCAGCTATATGGCCATTGCTGACTGCATCCGTCTGCAAGTGGGTACTGGCTCGTGGGAAGAGATACAACCACTGGGACGGCCGAGGTATGACCATTCTGCCTGCATTGTCCACGACCGAATATTCGTTTGCGGGGGCAAGCATTCTGAAACAGAGCACGCGCTGGAAATCGAGGTTTACGACACGACACTTTGCACAGGATGGTCGACCGTCGCACTGCTGCCAAAAGACATGCAGCTCTTGTCACAGCTGGCGTCAGAATGCACTGATTATTGTGGCATAGGCGCCATGACGCTAGCTCTGGATGACGATATTGATCCGAATACCGCTCGTACTCAATGAATTTTTTCAGTACCGCATTCCAGCTTTTTGTTGTAGAAGGTTTGTGAACTGTAGATTAAGTGACACACTTGCAACAGTTGCACTGCAGTGTGCAGCTGATTCCATCACTGCGTGTCAACTGTCAAATCGATTCTTTGACGAGCTCTACTCATCCATGAAGAGACTGGATTATCGAGGAGCCTAGACAGTGGACCGGCACTTAGTTTATAAAATAATACGTTTCCTAATTTTTTTAAGATAACAATAGACGTGTAGTTACTAGTTAATTACTAGAAGTAGTACAAGTTCGCACATACGCATAATTAATTACAAAGTTTAAGAGAGATGATCATCTGCTACACCTATAGCTACGGCTAAAGTTATCTGCATAAAGTTTTATAAACAGCCGACCCTGTACATTTTATATTACATTGTGCGAACTGACGGACGCGCATGCGTTCTAGTCAGGAATCAATACGTAGATCCCACGATACTGTGGAGTAAATTAACAGATTCCACAGCACTGTGGATTGTATCACACCGTACATAAACTACTAGATATGGACGACTTCGTACACGTTAAATTTTTGGAGGCATGTTTTTTTGCTTGTACCCACAGTATCCCACCGTATCCCACGGTATCCTCTACCTATCACATGTATCCTTGCAGTTTTTTGACTTTTGTTCGATTGTTGCCGTATCCCTCCGTATGTCTGCAGTATTCTCTATGTATCCCACATAAACCCCGTTAGAAACCTAAGAAACCTAAGAAAACCTGAGAACCCTAAGAAAACACGTACATTAACGGGATACATGGAGATACGCAAAGGATACTGTGGGATACGCTAATAAAAAGAATAACCACATTAACAGTATTTGCAATACGTGCAGAATTTACACTAAGTGATGTAGCCAGTGTTATAGGTAAAATATTGTTGCATAATTATATGACCATCGTTTACAATAGAGCAGCTAGTTATTAATTACTGCCCTTTAATTATTGTCATCACATAATAAGGATCAATGCACTAGTTGCATATGATTCATCATTGTATGCTTATTTTCTATTGTCACACCCGAGCCACACCCCATTGTTAAATGACGCTCTAGATCTTTCTTCATTGTTCTAATGCTGATTTGATCTTCTGTTCCTGATGCTTAGAGTATATAAGCAGCACTGCGATGCTGCCAGAAAATGCGCTCTGTTCATTTGGACTTTCCATCAGTAAAGAGTTGCCACTAGCTGCTGTTTTGTTGCGACTATGGTTGGCTAGTATTAATGCCATCTTCCACTATTCCCCACCATCCCGGATAGTTATATAGCCACATTTATACTCGTAACACCAGCATCCCACAGTATCCTGTACGTATCGTTCATGTATCCTGCTGAATGCAGGTTTAAAGGCCATCACTAACTGCAGTATCCCAACGTATCTTAACGTATCCTTACTGTATCCGTAGAGTATCCGGATAGCACTTACATTTCGGACGCACATGAGATTTACGGTGGGATACTGCAGTATCTAAATCAATGTAGAAAAGTTGGGGAATACATGAAGGATACGCAGAGGATATTGTGGAATACGGTGGGATACTGTGGATACAACGAAAAACACATGCCGGAAAAAATTAACGTGTACTAACCGTGCCATAGATGTAGATTAAATTACGGCTCAGATAACTGGACATATCAGCCCTGCGTGATCGTCATTACGAAAACCATTGTAGGCCAATTAGAACCCCATTGCACGTGACCCAACCGAATCACCACAACACCAAGCACTGACCAACTTTTTTTAAATCATATTGTTACATAGTTGCGTCTAACGGTAAGGGAAACACTTACGGAATAAGCAAGAAATACTTGCCTATAATGGCATCAGCCAGTACACATAATGATATGCCTGCGTGGTTTACACTGATTAAATCTTTTAGACACTAATTAATTAGTTTACACTAATTAAATTAAAAATAACTATGGTTAGAAATATTAATATAACCAACCTTTTGAAACGCCACTTTTTTATTGCGTAATAACGGTAATATGAGTGCAATCCAAGAGGATACAAAGTTCAACATTAATAAACACTACTCGTATGCTGCATAAAAACCGGCCTGTGCACTCTGCAGCTGGTGCAAATTTAAGGAAACTTCGTCAAAATAGCAGTAATGCGTTAATTTATACAAAAGATCGTCAACTCGTTTTGTGGAGCAAGGATATCGATGATATATCGCTTTACACTTTTCGCCAAATGGAATCGACAGAAGGCCGGTTGTATCTGCACCTCCACCTCTCGCTGCTTCCGGTATTCCTCCTCACGGCGCTGCATGGCTGCCTCGTGGGAGCACTTAATAGCGCCCACGTCCACCGAGGGTCGCGAACGGCGTCCACCCGTGCTGGACGGATGGAAGAATGAGTGCAGTCAGTCACAACTGACATACCAAATAATGGCGTTCATTTGTGAACTGTACCGGACCGCCCGGTGTCTTCTTGCGCTACACTGCTTTCTGTTGATAGCCGTTTGTACAATACAACGCTTGCTACAAGCCCGGCTCAACATTTTTAGACCGCTGTAAGCGCGACGCAGTGAATAGCGCACGGTAAGGCTGGATTTTATCTACTCTTCATTGGATGCACTGGCGTAGAGCACCTTGTACGGCTCAAGCCCACGTTTCTCAAATATCCCGCTTACTTACAACGGTCTAAAAATCTGGAGCCGGACTTGTACATTGGAGTCGGTGCGCTGACCGATAGGATGTGAGATAAAGCGTTAACAGGAAACCGTGGTAATATCACATTTATTAACGGATGCCGATAAGAATGCCAGGCTGGGCGCCGATGCACTCTGACTAATCACGCTCGCTCAGCCGGCGTTTTATGGCATATTACACACCGATTATCGACAGCTGGAAAGCGAGCCAAATTTGGGATGAATGCGAGAATGGTGCGGCAGGTCGCAGATTGTAAGCCATGAGGCCAACAATTTCCACAGCTGCTCGGCGTCCATCCGCACCGCTTGACGCAATCCACGAAGCGTCGGCATGCTCGACGTTCGCGCCCCACAGCAGCATGGAAGCCGTCGGCTGAATCGGCAAACGTTGACCGTGAACAGTGGCGATCGGGATCCACCGGTCATTGATAAGGGGCGCTGCAGTTCCTCGGTGGCCTTTCGCAGCTGCTCCTCGGTGTTCGCCAGCGCCTGCGTTAACCGCTTCACCTGTGCTACGTTGTGCAGCTGTTCGACATATCCATATGTTCATGGGGATGCACACGCTGCATGTGTGCTGCTTTCTCGTACACAAACTCTGTGATGCTACTTAATCGAGCCGCTACAGTAAATGAATACAGTACCACTTTACACAGCCGATACGTACTGGGAATAAACCGCTCCCTTACCATCACCGTTCAACCAAGCTAAAGGAAACGTCCGCCAATGTAGGAAACTCGAGTGGAACTCAGTTATTCTACTATCATCATTATAGTCAAGCGAGAAATAACATCGTTATGAGGTTTTTTATATTTGTTTATCAAGTTAGGTAAATAACAGCAGTCATGGATGCTTCGTTACCGGGTGGGAGTCGGGTGGATCGGACGCCGGGCCGATGGGAGATCGTGAACGATAGTTAATGGTAACTTAATACCTGCTATTGTTTCTCGAGTTATTGAACGTGCGATGGCTACCTATTTTTCCAGACCAGTTGGGAAGGCAGGCGACACAGAACTTCGACTCACTCAAACAGTTTAAAGCCCACTTTTGCGGGTTTGCGTTCTACAAGTAGGCTCAGTTAACAGTACCTTTGCCTATTCGCTTTATATGAGAAATAAAAAGCAGTTGATGTTATACAGTGGACAACCGAACCGGCAAGTGGAGCTGCACCATTACGTGGCGGCCATCAACGACGACGTCTTCCAGTGCGCCGTCTTCGACTCCCCGAACGCCGGCGCCCGGCTTATCGGCATCGAGTACGTGGTCACCGAGAAGATCTGCAAGCTGGACGAGGAAGAGCAGAAGTTCTGGCACAACCATGCTTTTGATGTCAAATCAGGTAATAAAAACAGACAGTTTATGAACTCCGGACAGTTTTGAAAGTTTAGTTTATGAACTCCTTTAACTGTACGCTTTTGACGTATGAGGTACAATGTAGGAGTGAAAACCAGTGACATTTAATTTAGTAAGCTAGATTCTCGTTCATTATCGGAATTGACCAAGCTATGATGTACCTATGACCAAAGATAATGGAATGTGCCGGTTGGTCCGCGGTTCAAAAAATTTTATACAGAGAAACTCTACAAACACATTTTATGCCGTAAGCCATCATAGAAACGTTTGTTGACGCACTATGCGTTAAAACAAAGCACTTACGTTTTTTTGCTCTTATATAGGCAGTTTCATCGCGCGTGGGCTCCCGTGGGCGCTGGAGAAAAAGGTCATGGCCGACATGATGCCGACGTACGGGAAGACGTTCATCCTGTGGCAGACGGATCGCGGCGATAAACTGCCTTTGGGTGGGATGGTCTAAACGATCCTCGTGTGAATGGAATAACAAAGGCTAATGTACATTTTAGGGCCCCCGCAACTGATGATGACCGCCAACGCCGACGGTCAATGGCAGGACAAGCTCTTCCGGACACGGGAGCAGCGCCGTGGAGCGCACTACAAGTTCGCCGACATTCTGACCAACCGCGAGGAGATGGTGATGCCGCCTATCCATCCCGGCTGCGACCAGTGGGCGACGGATTTATAAGCGCTGCAATGCAAGATGGAGCACGTCATTAGCGAGGATTACAAAGAGTGATTAAGGTTGAACTTGGATTGGAGTTTCGTTACACCATGTAGAATTCGTGTATGTAGAAAACAACCATATATGCTTGTCACAAGCTTGACAAGCCGCTTGTGAATCCTTATTATATTTCGAATATTACTGTTGCATATTGTTTAAAGCAGCTTAAAGCTGGATGTCTGTATCGCTTCTGCTTTCATTTTGCGTTTGCGGGAAGAACGGGTCGACGGCGCGGCGGCATACGCGAGATCGAAGGTGCAGGTGATGACCTCACCGGTTCGAGTCTCCGATATCCCCACTTCCGCCCGACTGCCCCCGTTTATTGCATTGAGTAACATAACAGTTGCGAAAGCAATAACAACAAAGTCCACCATGTAGGGTGGGCGGGTGGTAAACGAAAACGGTAGAGGAATAAATCGGCAAACTGAACGTATCAGATCGTCAGCACGACTGATCAGAAGGCGAGCAACAGAAAAATCGGGCCGTGTGCACGGCCGGCGGCAACATTAAACGTTCTCATGCGCAACAAAGAAAGTGGGCCGAGCCGACGTTTAACAAAGCAGTACAGGGAATTTGCCACGAATTTAACTGCACTTAGCTTGCTAACTGTTCTTTAAATTCTTGTGGAAATTCCGTACACTCGAGCGGCAGCGGAGTTGGGCGTTTGCGGGAAGAACGGGTCGACGGCGCGGCGGCATACGCGAGATCGAAGGTGCAGGTGATGACCTCACCGGTTCGAGTCTCCGATATCCCCACTTCCGCCCGACTGCCCCCAAACAATCTATCCGGTCCGGTAAGGATTCAGTGGCACGGGTGGCCCAGCGTGGCGAATGTAGCGGGTGTAACAGTTGCTCCGCCAGCGTCCGGCCAGTTGGATGGCATGGTCAGGCACGTTATTGGCCGCGGCCGTAGTTGCCGCACCAATGCGGAAACTGTGCGTGCTGATCCGGTCTCTCTCCGGGTGATCCGTGAGAAGGCGAAAGAGGCACTTCTCCACGTCTGCCCTTGTCACGAACTTGCCGTCTTCGCGCTGCAACAGCGGCCGCTCGTTCGCAGGCTCGGGCACGCGAGCACGGTAATTCCGGTAAGCCTGCACGGGGCAGACTGAACGTCCAGTCGCCGTCAGCGCGACAGAACTACCCTGCCCCGTCTGGTCCGTCTTTGTGAGCTTCAGCTGCACCGTTAGGCGGTGGCCAACATCCACTATGTCCCCCCATAACAAAGTCCGCCGTGGGTCAAAACGGTTAGTAGCGGCTGCTGTTATTTCTCCAATGCGGAAGAAGCCGAAGAACAGGAAAGTGAACGTCGTCCAGTACAGTGACTGTTCGTACTCTGATATGCGGGCCACTCTCAAAGCGTCCTTCAGATATCGCATGTGCGCCAGTGTCACCGGGAGCCGCCGGTCTTTTGTGGCGCTGCCAGACGGCGATAGCCTTCCAGAGCCCTAAGAACGGTGTCGTTGTCCGTGGGGCTTGCTTCATTAAATTCACGGTGGCGATTCCGGATGCCGGCAAGGTAAACCGTGGCTGTCCGATAACATTTACTATCTGCGTATAATTTCGCTACAAATTCCGCAACAGTTGCCGGCTTAGCGGGCAGGGATGCCTCCGATCTAACCGCGCAATATTGCTGGAACTTGTTGAATGCAGCATTGTACGTGGCTCGGGTAGATTCAGCAATATGAGCCTGTAGCAACTCATTCAGCTCTGGGGATGGCAGAGGGCTGCCCTGAGATCCGGAAAGATGTCGGGACAGTCCACCGGATGTAGCTCTGCCTGTGGCGCTAGTCGTCGGAAGCGGCTTTGCTGGAAACGAGAGAGCGCATCAGCTATTTCATTATTAATTCCGGCAATATGCTTAAGCGTTAACGTCATGTTCGCGACTGCTGCGGCTTTAACTAAGCGACGCATGATATCCAGCACCCCGCGGTTAGTTGATCTGAGGTTTTCCCAAGCGTGCGTGGCGCCGGCATTGTCGCAATGGAAGACAACTTTCAAGCCGGCCAGCTTCTTTCCCCAGACGATCACGCTCAGCAGTATCGGTACCATCTCAAGATACTCAATGCACGGCTGCAGTTCAGTTATCCACAGTGGCCAGTGGAGCTGAAACCACGCCCCCTGACAATAAGCGCCGAGGCCATGTGTTGCTGAGGCGTCCGTGTACAGGTGCAGCACATCTGACCGCGTCCAGTCCGGCTGTAAAAAGGATGCGGTGCCGTTCCATGTCGGCAGAAACTCACGCCACCAGCCCAGATCCTTGTGAAAATCGGAGTTTAAGGGGATCATTTTGGTGTTCCGGTGAGTAGATAACAGCATGATCATCCGGCGAGTAAAAAGACGACTTGCTGGTACGCACTTCGATGCAAATTGCAGGACTCCGAGCAGACTTTGAAGCTGTTGCCGGGTGCAGAAACGCTGAGATGACCATTCTTCAAGAGCCGCTTGTATCTCATTTTGCTTTCCGGTTGGGAGACTAAGGGTTTGTCTCACAGAGTCGATCAGGATGCCCAAGAATATCAGCTGAGTAGCGGGTCCTTCGGTCTTGTCGTGCGCCAAAGGGACCCCCAGCTCACTGCATATTTGCGACATGGTGCTCATGCACGTGCTGCACTCGACACTGCCGGGCTTTCCGGCAAAAAAATAATCATCCACGTAGTGAAGCATTGAGCTTAGACCGCTTCTTCTGCGCACTGCCCAGTCAATAATCTTTGCGAATTGCTCAAAGATGTAAGGAGAAGATCGTAGCCCAAACGGAAGTACCACGTCGAAGTAGTACTGTCCGTTCCAGCGATACCCGAGCAGATTCCAAAGATCGCGCCGCACCGGAATCAGGCGGAATGCTGACTTGACGTCCATTTTCGCCATCAACGCGCCCCGGCCCAAGCTGCTCAAGATGGCAACAGCATCGTCGACGGAGCAGTATTCCAACGGAAGCTTATTGACGTCAATGGCATCGTTCACGCTGTCCCCGGTGGGCTGCGATAAATCCATGATGACTCTTACAGTGCCGTCCTTCTTCAGCCGCGCACCGAGAGAATTCGTAACAAAGTGGGGTAAAGGTGGTGATAAGAACGGTCCGACGCTGTGACCTTTCTCCACTTCTTTCGTGATGTATTCAGTAACGGCGGCGTTGTGGGTCTTAGCGGTTGCCGCATTGGGAGTGTACCGTTCTTTCTGCGGTCCATCATAGAAAATATGCGCACCGTGTGCCAGCGTGTCCAGTATAAACGACACTACTGACGCATCAGGATACTCAGTGAGCAGTTCGGCGAAAGCGGTGGTGCGCAGTGGTGTAGTCGCTCTCGCCGGCACTGTCAGCTCAGGTACCAACTTTGGTGCAGTTAACTGCGCGGTGGTTCGACTCCCCGCATCGCGAACAGGAGTGTTGCCGGCCGGCCTTGCAAGGAGTGGTGCAGCCGCCGAAATTGAAGTTACGGCAGATTTCTCCGTCCGCGACGGAAGCGGTCCGAAAGGGCTGCCCGTACCCCGGCTGTCCTTTACGCGGTAGCGGGCAGCTCTTAATAAAATGCCCAGGCATACCACAGTTGCGACACTTGTCGTCCGCTTTCCGGTTTTTATCTTGACGACTACCAGCATCTGTGCGTTCTTTTTCGTGACGTGGAGGAGCATCCGTGGTGTTGCGGAGCGGATTCTGGATGCAGTCGATGTATGTGTCCTCATGCTGATGCGCCCATAGTTCATACTCCCGCGGGTGGCTGGTCATGAATGCACGGAACTGCCTGTCGTACTCCAGCCAGTTTGCGGTCGGGACCCCACGCTCGGCATACGACGCAATAATAGCCAAATACTTGAAAAATTTAGCGCTTAACTGCGGGGCGACAGTGATGCGATATTCCGAGAACACAGAAAATGCACCTGCCCACGATGAAAAAGAATCAATGCTGATTTTACCGTCTTCCGGGGTAATGGTCATCTTCCCATCCACAAAGCTTAGATTTGACTGCAATTTCTTGGGCTTCTCCACTCTGTTGCGTCGCAGCAGCAAGTCAAAATCCACGTATTCAGTGAGGTCCAGCAGTTTCTTCCGCAGCTTTTATCCGGTATGGCCGGGAGCTGGTGATTTGTCTGGTCCGAGACAAATGGCTGCGTAGAAGGTTGTCCCGAATGGCCAAACATATCGGGGCGGTTGCCATGGCGCTGCAGTACTGCACTGTCTTCTGGCAAGCTCTCATCGTCGCTACCCTGTTCGGAGGATGAGGTAACACTTTCCTTACCTCGCTTCCGACGCTTCGCCTTTTTTCCATTGTCTGCCTTGCTTGTGGAGTCCACCTGGTGCACGATTCTTCCGAAATCGTCACCAAGCTGGATCCGCAAATTAGATGACGGCGAAAGCGGCCGGGCGGCCTGCGGTGGCTGGTTTTTTACAATGGCAATCAACGAGTCCATCTGTTGCTGGTGTTTTTGCTGCTGCTGAAAAATGGACTGGAGAGTGGGCTCCAACAACTGAACTTCGGCAGGCTCAGGGCGAACGATGACGCTCTTCAAGCGCTTCGCGGGCGCTGTTCCACGAGGTTTTCCGACAGCACGACGCGGTTTCTTGGCTGTCTTCTTGCTTCTCGTGGATGGAGGCATCGTTAGTGGGTTTCACAAAGGAAATGAAAATCTGAATTGTAGACTTATCTAACTGTAGACTTAAACGAAAACGGTAGAGGAATAAATCGGCAAACTGAACGTATCAGATCGTCAGCACGACTGATCAGAAGGCGAGCAACAGAAAAATCGGGCCGTGTGCACGGCCGGCGGCAACATTAAACGTTCTCATGCGCAACAAAGAAAGTGGGCCGAGCCGACGTTTAACAAAGCAGTACAGGGAATTTGCCACGAATTTAACTGCACTTAGCTTGCTAACTGTTCTTTAAAGCTGGATGTCTGTATCGCTTCTGCTTTCATTTTGCATGAAGAACAAACCCTCTTCAAATCGTTGACTTTTAAAGTTAAAAGTTCGACCATATGCAGAAAAGCCAGGAAACTAAAGTTAATCGCTTTCTTTTTGCCGAAGTAGACGCTGTCGATATGGTCACCACAAGCACATGCCGTAAACGCGGTTGATAATAACGACACTCTGATAATATTGTGCAGTAATATTTTGTCTCCGGTTTTAAATAATACGATTGTAACGATAGAAATTAGGTGTACCGCCGGCGCCAGTAGGAATGGTAATTGCTTTTATCTCTGCGTATTGGTTGTTGTGTTATAAAGATCGAAATTCTTTCTTTCTTTACATTTTATCGACAGCATCACAAGGTCAGAAACATCTGGAAATTGGTCAGTGCTGCAGCTTGCTCCGAATCTTGCTCCACGCCTTCCGCGCTTCTTGCCCCTGTGCTTATGCACTTCTTGCTACGCGGCTTCCGCGCTTCTTGCCCACGCTTATGCCTTCTTGCGCCTCAGCTTGCTTTGCTCGCAGATTCTTGCTACGTTGCACTTGCTAATAAACACTTGCGATGACCTTGTGTTGTGTGGCTTAACCGCCATGCGATGATCGTGCGTCTCCCATCTTTGTCACTCTGTAAACGGGTGTCAGCTTCCGGTCCGCCTCGCTGCCGCAGTTTGAGCCGGATGCACTTGCTGCGGAATCGCACTGTCGGTGGCAATATTGAATTCGGCACATATATTTTCATTTTTCAGATTATCGGCACTGTCCTGTTTGTGCCGTTTAATCACGAGCGTTCATTTTCAATTTTTTTATGCTTCGTCAGTTGCAGAAAACTAAAAAACCGCTAGCTCTGTTCGAATTGCGGCAAAAATTCCCGATAGTTTATTGAGCGATCTTGGAGCAAACAAGATGCGGGCAATATTTAGCACCTGCTTTTTTGGTTTGATGCTCAAAAAAGGCTGGTGCTTTTTCTGCTTTTGTTGAATTAGAGGACTTTCGCTGCGCTGAGTGCGCTCCTGTCGACAAGTAACAGTACCGTAATACAGAGGGGATGGAGCACTATAAATTACATACTCTGTACCTACGTCAGAAAATGCAGCTTCTACGCAAAATTAAAAAAAATGTATAGTATAAACGAAATTTCAATGAATTTGTAACATGATATACCAAACCTGCTGTCAGCAGTGACTGTTATCCGTATCACCTGCTGTCAGCAATGATTGATATCTGTAGCTTCCTTTTAGGGATTCTGTTGAAAAAGCTGCCAGTATTAATTTATATGACCTAGTAATTCATAACGCTCGTTTTTAAAACAAAAATAAAAAAAATGATTAATTTCGAAGCCAGAAAGACCGTCGCGTTAATCAAGGTATATGAAATCTTTGCTGGACAAATCTTTGCTGGACAAGCGGCCGAACATGATGCACACAGAACAAGTATACCTATTTTGACGGCACTCATAAATTCATCCATATTACAGCAGAATTGCTCGGGGTTGATAACTGCGAATAATAGGTATCTACAGTACCAAGACAGCACACCGAAAAAAACGTCCATGGATGCACATATACAATTCATTGCGCTAAAAAATGCCATTTGATAATTTTTCTCGGGGCGATTTTGCCAAATTCTACGACATGGTAACGCATGGTTCGGGTAGGGTGTTGGTACATAGCAATCACCCAACAAGCTGCAGCGTAATTTTCCGAGGCCTCAGCATGCTGCTTAATAACGATAGGAACCTTACTTTACACAGCGTCAACTGCAACATATTAACGGTTGTTGATCGTTAAAATGCACTCGGGACAATTTGCGCCGGCGGATGATGTTGCATTAGGCGCTATGCATCGCTACCAGTTCATTCTTGTAAAGAATCTTTGAAGGACAATGTAGTTTGGCTTGTCCTAAAAAAATCGGCAATATCGTTTTAAGTGAAGTTGTTTTTATCGCTGTGCCTGCAACGTGGATGGCAGCGTCACTGCAGTAATAGTAATAAACACATAAAGCCTCGAGCATACACACACCAAGAGTTTGAATATTTTAGTCTTTATTATCAGATGCAATATGGGATTTCTTTTTGTGCCCTTCAGCTTGCTGATCTTCTTATATGCCATATTCGGAAAAAACCACAGCAGGTACGTGTACGTGACTTTCGTGACGCCACATATGCCGGTTTCACTGTTTTTATTAGTGTTTCACATTTGGTAACCCTGCTTGTGGTAATCATTACTGCACTGCAAAATAATGAAAGTTTGGTAAATTACCGTAGATATATGTTCTGTTCTATCAAATTTGCTGTCAGTGCTACAGTACAGACAGAGTGACAGACTATTAAAAAGAGCGTTAAAATTATTGCTGAGAAGCTGAATTATCAGCAGTGATTTCATACGCAGGCAATAATTTGCTCAGCTGCCTGCCCTGTGGGTGTGCACGACGTCGAAGTCAATGTTCGGCTCTGCGTTATACTGTTATGCTATATAAGTGTAGTACGAGAACGATGGACAACAAAATTTACTTTACTTCGGAACCGGTTTTGCGGCTTTTGCTTTACAGAGAACACAGAGAACACGGTTGCCGCGCTTACTGCTCAGCAAGCGGCTATAGCGACGGATATGCGGCGTTCATCGTATCATCGTATGGCTAACAGAATCAATCAAAGTAAATTTTGTCGTCCATTGAAAACTGAAAATTTTCAATGGACGGATGGAAATTTTCAATTTTCAATGGATGGATTTTTTTTTTCGTGATACTGAAAATTTGCATCGTTTGTTTTGTAGTTTTCTGAGACCAAGCTTGTACAATTGTGGTGTCTGCTGTATCTGTGCTTTACTGTAACTGCGCATTGTGCAAATCATGTTTAATGTGCTTTATAGCCCGGATCAGCTGAAAATCGAACAGGTGTCTCAAACGACGAACAACCAATCGCCGGCGACTGCTTCGGAACAACCTATCGAGGACGGAGGTTATAATTTGAGATTTGTCGAGGTCCGTCCGTAATAATTATAATTTTGTAGGAAACCGGTTTGGCTACTGTTGGTTCGATAAAAAAAATATTAATAACAATATTTGATTATTATGTGTGCAGAAACTGCTCGTCTTGAACTCGGGAGACGTCCACCCAGCCACATTATTCCCCAAGATAACCAACAAGAAAGACGATATCGTGCCGTGGACGCACAACCGGCTGCTTTTGAAGCTGAATCTGCGGATGTATACCGCTATGGGTGTAATCGAACCCAACAGCACCATAATCACCCCGTCTACAGCCACGCCCCATTATCTAACCGTCGACTTTACGGACGCCGACACTGAAGTTGACATTGCCCAGTGGATGGTGGCCGTGGGAGCGTTATTCAGCGCCGCAGTCGCTACAAAATCCGTGCCGGTTCTTTTGCACAAATACGCCGTTATAAGTCAGTTTGAGAATATGACACTCTCGCAGATGGATGCCGCGAAGTTTACCGAGAAAAAAGGCAAATATCTCAAAGTGCCACCACGTTCTGAGATGTCCACAGAACATGGGCGGATCCTCCAGACATGGATGAACGCACCCGAATCCCGGGAGACGATTCAAACTCTGTTGACTTTGCGCGCGGAAATCCTCAATCAGAGTTTGTTATACATTGACACTGCAGTCGCCGAGATCATGCGGCGGCAACCGGAAGTGACTGAATGGGCGCTGCCCTGTTTGGTGGGGTTCTTTGTGCAGGTGGAGAATACGCCGGAATTCTCTGCTACAGAAAAGCGCTTAATACGCGCTGCTATCCATTTCCAACGTGTCGATGCGCCGGTGAATTTTTTCATCTTCAGCAACAACATGACGTACTGCAAAGAGATCTTCACCGAGCCCAATGTCATTTTTGTGAATGAATCGCCCGAGGTTCAGATCACCTTGATGAGCTTGATGGATCACTTTGTGTTTACGGACGGGGTGGAAGGTTGGCTGGGAGCATATATTAGCTTTAGAAATGATTTCATGTACTATATCGGAAACACCCAAGTAAATGACAAGGGAAACTTTACATCCGACGGTTATGTTATTTTCCCAAGTTGGCAAATTTTTGAGCGGTAGTTGTACGGTCTATGTCTATACAAAGTAGCTGCCTATGGTAAAGTACCGGTCATCGCTGTCATGGCTTTAGTGACTAATGCAAAACCGGAGCCACTGTTATAGTGAAAATTGTCATGAACCTATAAAGTTTGTAAATTACCTTCATGCACAGCACAAGTTTACTTACAGACGCAACGTTTTAAAGAAAACGAACACTAACAGAAGTTACGAAAACAATGCAATTAGCGACTAACCTTTTTTTCCTTTTTAGTATACGTTTGGATGTTTTTGGAAAACTTTTTGATGCTTTGGGATACACCAGCTTATCACACATTTTCATTGCATTATCCATTCGGAATACGTAATATCCCTGAACAACACACTTTATTTGTACTGTATTTTCACGAGTTTAAGGGACACGAAGATGCCCTATCTGTAGTTCTGCTCGCAGCCACTCGGGGGCCTGCAGCTACGTTCAAACTGGGGCTGTGTGGTGACAACATTATATTTAAACTGTTGTCGCCACGCAGGCACGATATACGATCAGGTAAACGATACCGTGAAACACCGTATCGTGACCATATCGTCAGCACAGTGGAGTATCGGCGGAAATCGACGTTTAAATAATATATTCGTTGATCAATTGACGCGACATTACAGTGGGCGTCGTTAAAAAACCGATTTCGGTTTTCCACCGTTTTGCTTGCCTGTCAAAGACTGTCATGCTTGTCAGAGTTGTTTTCTTCAGCGGTTTTATGATAACTTACTTCTGAAATTTCAGAAATTTCAGAAGCTTCTTTTTTTCTAAAGATTCTCAAGGTTTTCGCGAAAGTAAGAATTTTCTTAAAACATCAGTTCGACTTATCGTCAAGCAGCGTATTCGTCTTACTGCCTTGCAAATTGATCTTCCAAAGTTCTTTGCAACGTTTGTTTGTGTTTAAAGTTTTCGATTTTAGCACATCAAAATCGTACTGTTTATAAAAACCGAGCCGTATTCTCCGAAAAAAATGTTTTTAAATCATGAAATACTGTGCACTCTTTAATGCGAATGCAAACTGATTTTTGAATTTTTGCTTTTAGAACATGAACCGTACAAAGGAAGCCAGCACAATCAGCCCACCGTCAGTTCAGCCCATATGCAAGCCCGTTTTATGTGATGTTACGATGTAGTGGTCAGTGGTGTGTGACGCTGGACCTGTTTCGCTCGATTGACGGTGTGTGGCACCACTGACATGTAGAAAATTGTGGAGTGTAGACTATTTAACTGTAGATCTAGTAAACTGTTGAAAAAAAAGGGAAGATAGAGAATCAGTGTTTGTAACTAGGCAGAGACAGGGTAGGATGTAGCCTTGCAAGGGGCGCCCGGCGTTCAGTGGAGGAAGTGACTGATTACGTTGTGCACAAAGCTAAAGTCTATTTTTATTCTGCCTTAACATTTTTAAGATTGTCCCGTCTTATTGCGCTGTCATTAGCGCAGTTCGGCCGTATGAAAAATTGTTCAATAATGCATTTTAGCATAATAAACATTGAAACATTTGGATTGTATTAGTTTTACGTGTTACATTTAAGGGTTTGCCGGAATCTGCCACATTCCGCTCATACAAGTTGAGCGGCCCGTAGGTTTTCTTCGTATATTTTGAACACAATATTGAGTTCGGTATGTTCTCACCTGTATAAGCTTGTCGAGAAATTATGGGCGCGTGAAGACAGCGAAGAAAACACATTTGTGGGTTGCGCCACATGGCAGTATTCTAGTGCCAATACAGCGCTTAGTGTGCGCTGCCTGTTCCTTTACGCTCTCAAATCTCAATTCCTCGACAAGCTTGTACTGGCAGTCTGGCAGTACGTACTTTTGCTACAGAGTCAACGTCGAAGTTGGTCGAACCTGGCTGCTCTTGTTTGCCAGTATAGGTGCGAGTGCGAAAATTTCGAACTCGTAACCGTAACTGTGCAAACAATTGCCGGTAGCGCATACTGTTGTTTTATCCAGCTTTTCCTGGCCTTGTGCAACAACGGCAGTATTCAGGTGCAAAACCGAAACTGGTTCGCAATAAGCTTTTCCACGATCTTTGATAATGCATCGCATAGCGTAAAACGCTCTCCATTGCGTTTTCATTTTTCAACGGTTATGGGAAATTTGGCTAAAATCGTTAATCGCTAGAAGTCCAGAATCCGCACCGAAATAGCTTCATGTATCGTAGGAATTTTTGTTTCTGGTAACCTTATTTTCTGCAGCTTGCCTAGCAGCAGAACTGGAAAGCTTTGCCCGCAAAACAGACGCCGAAGCATTTGTGTACTTTGAATGAAATAAATCATAACGGGGGACTGCCCCAGTGGTTTATCTCATTGCAAGTAAACAAATGCTTGTGCATGGCGTATTGGAGCTTTTGGATATTGCTGTAAAGGGGAACGTTTTGCGCGTGCTGAACAGTTACGTTGTGACGAAACCTGAAACTGTGGAATCGCGCTGCTTTAAGCAGTATGGCGTGATACCTAAACCTTTAATCGTTTTGTCGTAAGCAGTTAGTGCACCTAGGTTATTGATTACATCACCAGCAGATCTCCGCAAGAGACCGATTCAGAGCGACCATGCTCAGCGGCAGCCGCATGTCTAGCAGATGAACCGGCAGAGTAATCTTGTGCGCAGCGGTCTCATTGACGACTCAGTGTGACCGTGGGTTCTGTCTGATCTTCGTTAATTCGCATGAGCATTCTCCTCTCAGTATCGCAGACGTGTATTCCGTCCTCCCAGCGTGCGCTACCATCGGTGAAGGTTGTGCCGGTTCGGAGCAGGTACCAGACTATCGCTTTGGGATCCACGAACACGCGGGTTCGTGAGAGCTTTACCAACTGCAGCTTTTCGATGATGTGCGTGCCAAAGCGTGTGAGCAAAGCCACGTATTCAACGGCATTGAACTGTTCAGGAAGCCGGCACACGCTGTCAGCCAAATTGTTTTGAAGATAAACAGGCTTGAACGCATTATGTTCAAGCCGGTCTTCTTCCAGAATCGTTGTATTAACATAATCAATGAAGAGCAAACCGTTCAAACCGTCGCTGAGGTAAGCCCGCGTTTCATCTAATATTTCAGCCGAAATACCGAAGCGGTTGGCTACGATTCTCTACAAAAAGTTAATTGTAGTTCTAACATAAATCGTTTCTCAAGAGAGAAGTCTAAAGCCATTGCAAAGTGCAACATTGCAAAGTTTTCTTTGAAGCTTTAGGTTAATTGGAGGTAATCCTTTGGCTCCTGACGATAGATAAAGCGTGGTTTTGGTTTGTTTCTGATAATCGACGAACGTGCGCGCGGCAACAGTGATCCGGGTGGGTGTGCCAGCACCCGGGTATAGCTGCCATATGGCATGGATGGTTGCAGTGGACATGACAAGCGTACATCAGCTTCAGGAGCTTCGTCGACATGATGCTGTTTCGTATACCGAATCCATGTTCAGCGAAAAAGGGTGTGCAGATCGTAGCCAGCTCCCAGGAAATGGGATGCCGATGGAGCCGGACTCAGACTGGATATTTCAGGCCTTTCCAGCTCGGGTTTGCTGGAAGATCATGCAACATAAGAAATTGCGATTGCGGGGCAACATTTGCGCAAGTGCAGCAATCCTGCACGAACTGCGATTGCTCAACCCACACCAGCGCAACCGGTTTTGTTTTTTGCCGCTCGAAACCATTACACCCGCCCGGTGTGGCAGCGCAACGTGGTTTTTGTCTTGCATACTCCTTAAAATCCCCGTTCTTTTTCTTTTCGATTTCGTTACGAAAAGTGGCTTTACCTTCAAATTTCAAGTTGAAGCACGAAGAACAAATCTTAAGAAACAATTTTATGTTTGAAAGGCGCTTTTTGCAAAGCCGGCGCATACTGTAATGGTCATTTAATGGAAGTCGGATAATAAACCCACGTACGTGCGCGGTACGGACGCCTTAACCGAGTGCGTTTGCGGATGTACCGTACGACGGCACGAGTACAGTATCTAACCGTAGTCAAGCGCGTAGGCTTTAACACGGTTTAACACAGTGCTGAAGTTGAATGACAAATTATTGAGGAAGAGCTTTGTCTGGTTACCCCGCCAATCAGCATCCCGCGAACACGGAAAAAAACCGGCATGAATCAGCTGTGTGTTCGGCTCTCTGGTATCTATGCTATGCAGGCGGCGCCACTGTGCGCGCGATAATTACCACGCAGCCACGCACAGCCATGCCAATTCAGTCCGAGTCTCTCGCATACGGTAAAGCTCAAATCAACGCTAAATCAGGAGCCATCCACTGTCGAACGAACCTGCATGGAAAAAATAGTTTCACTGATACTTCCCGTTGCCATCGACGCTATTCGATCAATCATGGGCGGAGGGGGTTCGAGAGAGGTAGATGTGGGGGCTATCACGCGTCCCCTGCAAGAAGAAATGGCACGCCGCGAACAGGAATACCAAACGCAACGCCAGCGCGACAACGAGTTCTTCCAGCAGCGCTTCCAACAGCTGACGAGCACCAACGCGGCCGAACGACAGCGTCTGCAGCAGGATTTCCAGCGCGAAAAAGAACATCGCGACCGTGAACGTCAAGCCGAACAGAAGCGTCACGATGAGGAACTACAGCAACTGCGACAGGCGATGAAAGTCAGCCAGGAGGAGGTGCAGAAGGTCAACGATCAACTGCAGCGTCCCATCAAGGATCGCGAGGAGAAGATGGAATTCGTCAACAATCTGAAATTGCCGATTCGCCAGACGGATTCCCTGTTGTTGCTGGGTCCGAAAGGACTGGGAAAAAGCACCTTCTTGTGGTTGCTGAACAAAGGACCCAAGCCGGAACAGTCACTCTTGGACGGGACGGTGGAATTCCTGCATGTCAACGGATTCGTGGACTCCATCGGACTGAACGGATGGACGCAGGAGGAACTGCTGAAACTGCTGGTCTTGATGATCTACGACGGGATCCCCAAGGACCTCATCATCTTCGCCAACGACCGCATCTATCAGCCCATCTTGACGCTGGGTCTGCTGGGCGTCAATAACCCCATGAGCGTCATAATGTCCAGTGTGTTCTGGAATAACCTCGAGCCGGAGGACGGTAATGAACCTCTGATTCACCTGAAGGACGACGACAAGGGCGTACGTCGCGTGGATCACTTGGGCCGCGTGTACAATCTGAAGGTGTATGAGAAGATCATGAAGCACCAGTTAGGTACCTTGCCCATCACCCATCATGACGACCTGGAAGAACTGGTGGAGAAGCGAGAAAAAGCCGGGATTCAGCCGTTCCGCTTTATGATGGACGACCTGGGGCAGCAGTTCCACGTGGAGATGGACAACTCGCCCAACATGGAGGCGCTCTTCCGCTTCATCTACATCTACGAGAAGAAGTACGCGAAGGATCGACTGAAATTCATGAATAACGCCTCGCTGCAGGACTTCAAATGAGCTCATTGGTTCGTTGTGAATTTATGGCTATGGTATGTGTATAGGTGCGTGAATGAGGTTTACGGTTCCTTGTGTCCCGTACTTTCTTCTTATCTTATATTGAACATTTTCATCCTCCTATCGTTCATCATTTTGAGTTGTAACCATGTACTGAACCCATGTTATGTTTGAGTGTTCTGCCTCACTTTACAGCTCAAAAGAACCTTGAGTCGAATGTTTCTTCCTTTTGATTTGATTGAAATGAGTGACACAACGGTGTTGAATATTTGGGTTTCATGGAAAGTTTAAGCAGTAAAAGTGTGTTTGCGTAGATCACGCTTCGAGCAGGTCGCCCGCAAAATGATATCTTCGCAATATCGCCATACTTTTATTCAGCAACTGAATAACAGCCGATGCACGTACACTTCCGAATACATGCGCTAATGGGCACCAATTAAAATTATTTAAATGTAGCCGTTAAAAAACAGTATATATTGAACTCTTCCGTTGATGAAATGTTACGGCTCCAGGAATATTGGCGTCAGCGTGTCAGTATGGAAATTCAGCCTCCGTTCAGGGAACAGCTCCACCGGGAGCATATTTAGATCAGTTGTTCTCTGTTCTTAGACCTCCGGAGACTGTTTTCTGCTGATTAAGCGTACTGCGTTGTGATATTAATTGTTATTCTATAAGCTGAAGTGTTAATGCAACAGAAGAAATAAGTGTTACACTTACAATCGCTTGTGTTCGGCACAATCATCGTCGATGAACGAAGTATCAGTTATACTTTATGTCTAGCGACATCACTTGCATGGTACTGTATGAAACCGCAAAGAACCTTCCGTACAACCCAATCACTTTTACAACTTGCGTCCTGCACTTTCTATCCGTGGCAATTTTACGAAGAAGAGGAAGCGGCTTTAGCGCCAAATGAAGAACATAACATACAGCTCGTTATTACGGATGATTACACGTGTTATTTTGGCATAATCCTCAGTTGCCGTTGATGATCTGTACAGAAATAATATGCGACTAATGCAACTCGAGGAATGGGATTACACAAGACGATAACGCTGCCGGATGCACAGCATGATGAGAAGGAAGCGCAGCGTGATGCGCGACAGGTTCTCCCAGCGCAGACCGTGCAGACCATCGCTGCACCACTGCTTCTCGCGGTACTGAGAGGACGGACGTGGATCCGCGGTCTGTCGCACACAACACCTACCAACAATTATATTATGTAGTGCTATCACATTTCCATTACTTAGCTAAGCTGCATCCCCTAATTAAATGTCCACAACTAAATTTCCTACGTAGCATCTTCAGATTCGGCACTAATTTTGCGCTGCACTTATTTCTCGCTTCTATTAGGGCAGGAACAACAATGTCGACCGTTGATCGATTTTCAACGGAAAGAATCTTTCCGAAAGACTCTATTTGAGAAATAGATTTTAAAAGCTTTTTTTAAATTGCGAATTTCACCGACATTTCAAAAACGGCCCAAAACTATTTGAATTTCAACCCCCAATATCCGTTACTGGTTATTGTGTAGAGTGCCCTCTTACTCTGCAGGCGGCGTCTTGATGCGCCGCTCGGCTCCAGTCAACCGCGTTGGGCGTCAACCACGCCTCCAGTGCCCGCAGCTGGGCGGCACTGGGCACCGGCAGCGCCGCCTCCCACGTATCCTACACCGCGACCGCCCAGTACGTATTCCGCGGCAGTCGTACCCGGGGCATCTTGAAGTCGATCTGAAGCGGGCGGCCCTTATGGGATCGCGGGCGCAAGTCGAAGCGCACCGTGCAGCCGACCAGGTGGACGGCCTCGCACGGCAGCCCGCGACACGACGCGATGAAATCATCCAGACGAAGCGGACGGTGCGTCCCGGCGGGGGGATGGTGCATCTCGCAGCGCGCTCTGGGTTTCATGGCATCCGTGAGGCGGTTTATCTCCGTGAACATGTCCGCTATACCCACGATGTACAGATCCGCCAAACGGATCCCGGGAAGGGTCCGCGTCACGTAGTGCATCATGTCGCACATAGCCAGGACGTCCCGGAAGCGGAGACGGCTGTGGCGGTCATGGAGGATCAAGTGGTGGGTGGTGGGGCGCAGGCAGTGGACGATGGGCGCGGTGAGGGTGTAGTGGAGATCCGGCTGCTGTCCACCGGGAACGCCCGTCTCAATAAGCAGAGTGCTGGTTAAAGCCGGCTTGTCCAGGATAGCGTCGCACGCGGAACACACCACGCGCAGCCGGGTGTGCGTCAGCGTATCCAGATGGGCCAACACCTCCTGCCACACACATCCACCGCCACGGTACACCATTCTTCCGGCGTCCCGCGTTTAACAAGAGCCGGCGCGACAAGCTGGCATTTGTGCAGAATGCTCGGAAGGTGTTGGATCAGCTCGCTGTGCAGCATCTAATTTCACCAAAAAGTAATGTCTCAAAATGTGCTTCACTGGAGATCTGAGGCTTCACGCGAAAACTGACATTTATGCTCATTTCAAATGAGTCGTTTCGAATGCTGGGTCAAATGACTCATTTGACCCAGCTTATGTACGGTACAAGTCAACTTCTTGAACTAGTTTGCTTCCCAATAAAATTTCTAGCAATTTCCACAAGTGTATTTAGGTAAGTGAATTCACTATCATCTGGTTTCTGGTGCCAATGCTCTTCCCGTCGAAGCGAATTAAACTCGCCTAAAGATTTCGTAAGGATATTACTCCCCAACCTCTGATTACAGGTAGTATAGTTTACTCTGTTTGTATGGGTAAACTAACAACTCTGGCTAATCAGTAAACACAAACTAACCAGAGACGTTGACGAACCTGTGCGGCGGCATGGGATCGTGCGATTGAGACGTCTTCCTCCACTTCCACGGCATACCGCAGCTGTCCGTCCGCGACATCAACACCCAGCACTGGGCTGTTAAACTGGAACTGGAAGTTCGCCCCGGGCTCCTTCAACACTTGCAGCAGGTGGACGGCCGTCGCGCCCTGACAACTGGCCGGCAGTGGCAGACTGCACTGGACAATGCATCCCGTTCCAGTTGCCCGCGGCAGCGTCACCAACCACAACGCACGGTCATGGTTAGAGTGGTCGGTCCACCAGGCATCCGGCACTGGCCAGCGAACGCGTTCCAACGGAACCAGGTCCGTCCAGGGGCGGCTGTCATCCCGGCTCCGGACGATGTTGACCTCGTAAATGAGATGCCGCGATAACGGTTTCGCCAGCATGGATTCCGGACTCGGATTGATCATTTCACCGGGCAACCAGCGCCATGCTCCGCCTGGGTACTCCCGGCGCAGTACTTCCACGGGGAGGCTGGTCCACGGTTCCTCTCCCGACATCATGATTATGAAATGGAAAGGGTATAAGCGCTGGGAGAGGGAGACCTTGGCGAAGGGGATGAGTTCCCGTCGTCGGTTGGGACACAGATCGATGTACAACCCGTCCTCCGTCACGTCAACTACGCGGCCGTACAGCAGGGTCTGGCCGTCGCCCACCACGTTAATTTAACGGTTCCATATCTCCAACATGGCTAATCTGACGATGGGTTGGTCTGTGATCTACCAAGGAACAACACTGCATTTACAGTGACAAACCCAGTGCAACACCTACAAATGGGGAACCTTCGAGATACAACATATCTGTACAGTGACATGGGGCGTCAACAAGGACGCAGGGAATTTCGTTAAAGTTACACACCATATAAATGGGAACAAACAAGGTGGAACGCAGCGAAACGGAGTTCTCCAGCGAGAAACAGAACCCACTGCCATTGGTAACTGCACGATGAGCACGCAGCAGTGCAGCACTTCAACGAGTTCTCAATCTGTACGTACGCGCTTTTACCGACTGAAGGACTTACCTCCCACTCTACACAACAGCAACCTCATCTTAGAAAGAACCCAGCATGTCGTTAAATAATTACAGCTTTTCTACTTCCAAGGACTGCGATGTTAGTAACAGTCAGTTTAAAAATTGGCTAAGGCTATTTAGCCCCAGTACTGCCTAATGGGGGCGGAACAGCTGGTTGGCTATTTTGCCCCAGTCTGGGGTTGGATAACCTATTAGCTATTTTACCCCAGTTCTCCGTATGAGCAGCCAGACGGCCATTTTGCCCCGGTCTGGGGGGTGGATATCCTTCCGCCTATTTTGCCCCATACCAGTCCAGCTGATTGGTTGCCTAAAAAAAGATGCCTTAAAGTGTGTTGGCTAGAGGTAAAAGTGTTAACAAAAAGAACTCATTGTAGGTAACGTAATCGTTATTTGCAAAATTTAAGTTTTTGCTAAACGTTCATAGAGGAGGTGAAACTCTAGAAATTTCCGAAAAGTCACCATGTTTTGTGAGTTTTTGTGGACATCGTGTACATCCGGCATCGTCGCTGTATTGCTGACGATCCGGAATATATTCGCTACAGTGCTGCGAGGGTGTTATCCAGATTGTTTTCTGTTTCTGACTTTTGCTGTCGGAGAGACCCTGAATGCTTGCATCGACATATCGTCCGTCGGAAGTTTCCACTGTGATGGAACCTGGAAAGGTGACGGCAGGGGTTTCTTTTGGTTCCTCTACCTGGAATCCGTGGGAGAACTTGCTGCCTCGTTGTCTTTAGCAATTGTTGGCTTAAAGAGAATACTTCAGCGGCGTTGGATTTGGTAAGGAATGGTAATAGTAAGGTTGCGTATTGCGCAAGGCCTTAAGATTAACGGCAAAATTAACAATAATTTTAACCATGCGCATAAGTATTTTTAAAATTATTTTGTTCAACTGCCCGCTTGTGGTGGAGCAAAGGTGTAAAAGCCCGATAAATGTCAGTTAGATATTACCGGAATTATTCTGCCGAACTTTAAGGTCGGCAGATTGATTGTCAGCGAGTTCAAAACAGTCTCCGTTTTCAAAAGGTTTTGTCAAAACTGTTTGCCCAGACTATCAAACCAAATTAACAGTTACATACGCGCAATAAGAGCACTGCATTATTGAAGGTTTATAGGTGTATAGCATCTGGTGCTGAAATACTGCAGTACAAGAAACAGCCTCCGCTTCGCCTCCGCGTTTCTTGTGGTCCATGGCCATTTTACATGTATTTGAATTTGAATGAATATATATTAGAATAACATCTATATTTCGTCGAAACATGATCGGTACATGCGATAGGGCAAACACGAATTTTATTTGAAAATCAGTTCATGGTTCTCTCAACCTTAAAAGCATTCCCTTTACCGAACTGATAGCCCCTGTGGCGAGCGGCCACATGAACAACCACGGCTGAATGAAATGCAGTCTACGCATTACCATTCAGTCTATGCAGCCTGTGCAGCTTATCAGGGATGCAATCTATGCAGTAAAAGTGATTAATATATTGATCCCTAAAGCGGTACTGATTAAAATAATGGGCAAAGCGAAGTATGGAAATAATTGTAATTAATTATTAATAATTGTAAAGTATGGAAATAATTGTAATTTATTTTTGTTATATTTTCTAAAACTGCACCCACGTGACAGCCCAGGGCTGTATATACCCAGACTTTATCACTAGGTCCTGAACAGGACCTCATAAGAAGTGCCGGCCGGCGGTACCAACCGGAAACAAATGGGGATGATATTAAAGCTTTACATGACTTTAGATGTGAATGTAGTCAGTAAAATTACGGTACAACGGATTTCGAAAGTTCACATAATGCGCTACTGTATATCATTGTATTCTTCATACGGGTATCTGTACTGAGCCTGCAAGTAATAAACAGGGTGGAAATTCAACACAGATACATACTGGATACATATTGATTAAAGACTGGGGAAACGGCCAACAGCACGTAACTTTGGGGTTCATACATGATTGGTAGTTTGTAAACTGTACAGCAACGCTTATTATTCCATATCTTACGACAGGATGTCGACGGTTGTTTCTAGGACCGCGTCGCCTCTTACTGGCATGAGTCCGACAATGGTACGGAAAATTCAAGCGTTCAGCAAAAACGCTTCGGCTGCTTCGGTGCATACGTGACCCTGTGCGCAACGGTGAACGTATTATGTCTAGTTTTCCTTGGCACGCCGTTGACCATTCTGATCATATTTCTCTTTCTGGTTTTCTAGACGATACCACTAATTAAGTTAGCAGGATTCGTCGCAGGCATAATCGTCGCTCATTACGGCGGAGAAGCCAGAAGCTGTCTTCCCTCAAACTGGAACGCTCTCCATCTCAAAGACACTCTTTGAGATGAAGAGGACCACTGTTTGGATGAGCAGCTTAGAAGGCGCCATCCGGCACAATTGCCCGGACGTAAGAGCTGTCAGCTATGATAATCAAAGTGGATACAATGGCTACAATTAAGTCCAGTACGTGTACACGGTAGTAAATTAAGACCATGGCACTATCCACAGGAACCGAGAAACGGCCGAAAAATGCACCGATGGGGGAATCGTTAAATCCGTGTAGGCAGTACCACTGCACCACGGCGCGAGGTGTTGAAATCCTTTGAAAGACTTTGTCGCTGTGCATGAGCCGCTTCTCTCCTTACAAAATGAAGGCCATCGTGGCCGCTTGAAACTGGAGGATAAATTGAGTTGCCGAATCCTGACTGCTGCCCTATTTCGACTATTTATCGATGGCGTGGAACGGTGGTCAACGCAGGTCTGTATTTCTTGACACGCCCTTAACCATTCTAACGTATTTTCTGGCGGATTTTCTTGGCGATTCTACTAATTTGGGTAGCACGGTTGTTGCACGCATAATCGTCACGCATTACGGCGAAAAAACGTTGTTCCCAAGCTGCGTTTCCTTTGCCACCGCGCTAAGCGTATACTGTCGCGGAGGAACGTCGGGATTGTGTATGCGAGAGAGTTAAACGAGTGGGAAGTTTCAAACGAGTGGGGCGTGATTGGCATTACTGATAGGTATTTATGGATATCGTTTACCATTTCTAACTGATTCTCAGCTTTTGCTTTAACACAGTTAGAAGGTGTGGAATGGAATCCGTTTTCTAATGAGCGATAAACACCTTACAAGTACATCCAACTAATGACGGCAACTAAACTAAATGAGTAGGTCAGTACATCGACTCCTGAATCACCCATATCCAATTCGTCCAGCTCCGACAGTGCTTTGTGGAACCACGGTAATACCGACGCCAGAATCCTTTGTTCATGAAATCTGCGATTTATGGAATGAAATCGTCTTACCAAAAGACTGCTATTCTTCAGTCAACACCTTCAGGAATGCGCTCGACAGAGTCACATGGAGTAAACTGCAGTGGAGTAAACTGCAGCGGACCAAGAAAAACTGCGATACCGACCTGTTGTACTAAGTTTTAAATTGTTTAATTTTACTGACAACGAACGGACTAATGACACCTGCATCCACCTTTCTATGTTTATTGTTTTGCCGGAATATAAGTATGTGTAACTAACACGTAAACGTGAAATGACCTTTAAGAAATGTTAAAACTCTTTATCTTTGATAATGTCGACTTTTGTTTTTTTTTTCTCTCTCTTTTGTCTCGAGTGTCGAATGCTTTGAGGGGACCGTGTCCCGATGCATAAGACAATAAATTCAAATTCAAGTATTACTAACGATGTTACCTTGTTTAAATTACTAATGAATGAACACCTGTGTCAGAGCGGCATCCGCTCTCTATAGGATCGTTTGATAGAACATTTCGCTACATTTTGTACGTATGCTTTGCCGATAGGCGATAGCCTAGTGGTGCCTTTCTGGGCCTTAGAGTACGAGGAGGGAAGAAGCATTTTCGGTAGTGCGTTCGAATGGTCAAGACTCTTTGAACACTCGTGTGGCTGCAAATCTGGCTTAACAGTCAACCGCGGAAGTCTGGCAGTCTACGTTTAACTTGCCCACTGTCAATCAGGGCACCCATCCACGGTTGACGGTGAGGTGCACGCTGATGGGCAACATTCCACGGTTGGCTGTTAAGTGAACCATGCTGGCGTACACTTAATCTATGATACGCTTCCGTTGTTGGCTCTGGACTACTGGTGATGCTGGACCAGCTAACGAAAACGTAAATGTTATGGCGCAGAACGAACGCTCTATGACCATGTCGAGCGTAGTTTAAAGAAGCAATGTGGACCACGCACCCGTGTTACTTGTCGAACCCTGGTATCTTACTATGGCATCCGTAAACTACCGTCCTTCGCCGATAACTTTACCTTGTCCTACTGCTTAGTTTATCTCGTGAGAAGTTCCATGATTGGTATGGTCGATTGCAGAATATAACTCTCAAGCGGAGGCGGCAGCCGTTTGAGAATGAAAAAACTAAACCTGGTTTGGCAATTGGCAACGAGGCTCACAATGCGAGATGGAACAGCACGCTTTCAAAATAACAACCTGGGCCCTGGAGCAAATAGCAGGTCCAATAGCACACGGTGTCCGGCAAGCGATCTCTGTTGGCGAACTGTCGGATATAGCAGCGGCGCTTTGGTTTTTATTACTGGTGCGGTGATTTCTGTTACTAATTAATTAAAATGAATGCGGTCAAGCGGTCATACAATAGGGTACATAAATGCCCGTGGCATGTGGATAACATACAGTATATTTTATTAATTATTTTTGAATATCAGCACTGCTTACAAAAAGGCTATTAACGCGAAGTGGCTAGCGAATTTTCGAAATAATACTCAAAAATCATCATAGCTCAACTTATAGAGAATGTTTTTTACTACATATCCCGATAATTGTAATGAGCATATCCTGATTCGTTAACAAGCAAAAAAATCAAGTTGTACAACTGGTAAAGGGGGGCACGTAAGGTGAACAGCAAAACAATGGCTTGCGCCGCACTTATTGGGAGTAATGCCATATTCCTTCAATCGCCGCCGACATCATTGGTTTGCAAAGCAGCAATCGCAGTCAGCTGCGATCAGAATCTGCAACTGCCTCATCCAGCTTTGTTGAGCTTGCTGACAAGAAGCAGAAACAAAAGACGCTATAAATGCAGATCTGCTGTCTGATTGCAGTCTTTTGTTTTAGCGTCTATAACTGGATCAGTCTGATTGTGAACAGTGCACTCTGCGTGAAAGTTCTATGGCTGTCTGCCTGTTCTGCGTAACTGCGTTGCTCCACATGTCCAGGTGCTTTTGTGTGCGGCAGCCACCATCTCTCGGTACCGGCACCAGAGCCGAGAAAGAGGTGTACTTTTGCAAGCTAACAGTGAACAAAACGTAAAAAAACTCTGAGAATTTGCTGCAAATACATTTGTTTAACAAAAAATACGAATAAAATCGCATTAAATACAGTACCGCATTCTGAGCTTATTATACGGACTGAATCTCTATTTAGGGCTTCGTTCGGCAGATATGGTCAGAAATATCCAGGGGCAGGGTGCCCCAAGCATTTCCTTGGCACCCCTGATTTTTTTTTGTTTTTCTGTTTTTTATCAATCAAAATTCTGTCCGTATAATAAGCTTCTAAGACTTGAATCTTTGAAATGGCCGTTTCAGAATATTTTTTTTCATATCTGTACTCTGTAAAAATCGACTTCAAGTTTTTCACTTTGAAAGCTAATATCTCAGTAACAACGAATGCGTAATTACTAATGATCATATTTTAAAGCACAAAAATCATTTCTTTATGTGGCATATGCTACTGTGTAGCATAAAAGTGTAATGCGTCGGCGGTATGCCCGTTTCCGCAAAAGGACCGAGTTGCTAGCCACTTCGCGTTAAATAAAGGATACACAGTACGGCTGATAACAACTGGATACACGGTAGGGAGATGCACGACGGAGAACAATAACAATAGTTGGCAACATGCTAAAACTAAGCAGAAAAGCATAAAATAAATGAAACCAGAAAATAATGCATGAATAGAAACGCTTCTAGGTTAAAGTACCTAATGGTTCAGTTGTCGGTTAGTTCCGGGCCTTCCGGCTGCCCCGTACAGTATACCAAAAGTAAAGTGAACAGACGCCAGAAACCGGTTCGATTATGGTAAGTCGCTATAAGCAAGCCGCAACTAACTGCAAGAAATTGCTACTGGTGAAATAAACACCAGTGCGTGCCGATAGTGCCAATGTATGCAAATCCAATCCTATCGCAAAAGAAAGCTTCATGACGGGAAAATCTGATCCATGAGTGATGAGGTCGCACCCCGCCCTTTCTTGTTGGGTATTACTGGTTGGATAGTGCAATCATCGTCTTCTGGTAAATTCGCACGGCCCACTGCTTCCGGATTGAGATAATAGATACGCGATCCGCCATTTATTATTAGAACACTTTTGACAACTTCACTTTCCATATCAAGTAAAAATAGAAAGTTGGCTATAGTTAGTGTGCGCCCGGTGAGTTCCGACAAGGAATCCGACCACCCTCCATACTCATCGGTCTGTAGTAGCTTGAGAGCGGAATCCGTGTAAAGTAAGCGCACTTTATCCTCAATTTTCAGGCTTGATCCGTCGCCACATAGTACTTTAATTTAAAGTAATCAAGGACATTTTAAATTCAATTATGGAAGTATAGATTGTCTTAAGGGAATCGCTATAACGGCTTTAATTTTAAGATGCCATTTTGCAAAAAGATGCGTCTATTAAGATTCGAGACTGCTCTATTAGATGACAAAAAGGTCGAAGTTACAAGATTGCAGGGTTATGTACTGTAATATGAATTTTTTTAGCTGGTTACAGTACCTTAACTAACCAAGGGTGCAATCAATGACTGGCCCGGCTAGACATCACATACTCATATGCCAGTTAGCGCATATGCGATGCAATCAATGGAGAACACTAAGTCGTGATTAGTGTTGGGTCAGCCCGGCCCGGCGCGGCGCGGCCCGGCCCGGGTAAGAGGGCCGGGCCGTTGTTTGACGGCCCGGGCCGCGGGCCGATCCGGGCTGCGGCCCGACATGTCCCCGGGCCGCGGCCCGGGCCGTCTTGCAGCACAGTGATATTTCATTCCCGGATGTCATTATGCAAACGGCTACAGCGGGTATGTCAACGAAAAAATAGACGGATTTTCGCCTAGAGACGTTTAATGCTGTGAAAATTAAGAAAAACTCACCGAAAACTACTAAATTTCAGTAAATCCCAATGAAATTTTTTGTTTTTCTACGTCTTTTTCCATATTCAACGTTTACAGCGGGCCACGGCCAGGGCCGAGGGCCGCGGCCCGGGCCGCGGCCCTGGGCCGGGCCGGCCCAACACTAGTCGTAACTGATCCACATATTTTGTTTTACGGACAGCCATAAAACCGAACACTGGTCAGTCTAAATGTGCATGACTGATTTAAACTTGGATGAACTTTCAAAAACTACTGTTCAAAATGGATCCAATTAAGTTTGGAAACTGACTCCCAACTCAAGTGCTACATTACAATCTTCAGAAAAATTTTATACATTTGAGGCAGAAAATGCTTAGAAGTTTAATTGTGAGAGCGATTTTAAATAGAAATGGTTTAACTCCAGTTATTTACGAAAATCATAAAGTGATTTTTTAAGTTTGCGAAGTTTAAAAAAAGGTTCTTTAAAAAAAGGCCTCGCAACGTGCAGGAGAGCTATCTGTATGTTTATGATATTCTGGTTGGACTATCTGAAATTCTGTGTTGCTCCGTACTGACTAGTTAGTTTTTAAGCGTGATTTTTTTAAATCAAACTTTAAGCTATTTCCTCAAATCCGCTCCTAGCCTCTTACCGGTTTTGAGTTGTGCATTTTGTTTAATTTAAATGGAACAAGTATATATATGGATGTAAAAATATATAATATTTTCAACAAACGCAAAAATGCGGGCTTATACAGCCGAATTAAGCCGACGTAGCTATTCCCTTAAGCGCAGTTAGCGATTAATATAGGACCACACCCGTTGTCACTTTGCGTAATGCTCTCGGGTTCACAGGCAAACATCTATCGGCAAGGACGATACAAGCGTCTCCATGAACATCAAAATAACGAATCAGAACCGTTTTTCCTAATGCTTTCCGCAAGCGGCCAGGCATCCTTCCGTGACCTTTTTGCAGCTCGGCTACTGTATCATAATCCGCCAAAATTTCGACCACATCGCCTTCACCAATTGTTTCCCCGCTTCCGTCAATGGCTTCGTAGCCTTCTGTAAATCAAAACACAGTACCAGTTTTCGGCTGAAGGAAATGAATTGGCTGTTTGTCCTACCTCGGGATTGAATGTCAAGGATATCAGGATGGCATAACATTTTAACTGGATACTTTTTCTTGATGCAGATCTCTACATCACCATCGCACCTCACCTTCTCCACCGTACTGACGTAATTACACATATCATGCACATAGAGTAAATTATGCTCGGCTTGTTTCTTTCGAACTAAGGTTTCGTTATCACTGATCCCAACGAATTTGCCCACAGCCATTTTCCCCAGGCGAAGCACATTGATAGTATGATCAAGAGCTTCAAGGCTCTCATTAGCCTCTTCCTGTATATCAGTCAATTTCACCATCGCCGCTACGAGTAGTGCCGCACGGTCGTTATCTGCAAATATAATTGCAATAATATTTTATGACTCCTTGTCGCTTTTTCCTTTTTATCGCTCTATTTTAACCGCTCGTTACAATAATAATTCAGTAATATCAGCAGTAGTTATATTCAGTTAAATCGTAAACACGCCGCATTAGCAGTTGTTGTCAATTAAGTAATAATTAGGGCTGTTTTTATATTTCCCACCGAAGAAAATCAAAAACAGCAAATGCAGCGATATCAAGCAGATGGCTCATGTTCGCCGTTGAAGTTAAAAACGAAAGACCAAACGGCTGTTTAAAATACAAATTTGTACAAGTGGCGTGAACTTTATGCAAAACGCATGAGGAAAGATGGAGAGTATCGAGGAGACGTAATCATGGTTTTCTGTCCTTGTAATAACAATCACAAGCCCCCCTACAGTCTTACGGATGTCTTCCAGAATGTTTTGCACTTCCTGGGGCTTCAGACCTCTTAATTTGGTAAGACACATGCTCATGAGCCTTCCCATTTCACTATTGAGTTCCGAGAAACACCAGATGAGCCTGAGATCATCTAGCGCATATTTTTCCAGTCGAAATTCGTTTAGCAGACAGTCCACCGCTGCCGTATTGTCCCGCACGCAAGCCATGGACAGAGCACTCAACCCCTCATCGGTTTTATATGTAAAATCACATTTTGAATGGCTTAGCAGTAAATTCACGATGGATATTTGCGAAGGCTCACTTATACCGTAGAGACCCCACACCGATATCATTAGAGCTGTAATGCTCTTGAAACCGAGAGCAACCGCATTCACGTCAATGCGCGGCGAGTCCAGCAGCAACTGCACAATAAGGGGATTTCGGCCGCATGACGCCAGCATCAATGGCGTCAGACCGGCTCTTTTGGCATTAACATCCGTTGACGATTCGGAGAGAATCTGCTGCACATCGGTGACACTTTCCCGTAGCACTGCCGCATGAAGCGGTGTCAAATTGTCCAACACATCTTCTAAGTCGGTAGAATCAAACTCGGTCATGCTTTCTGCAGCTTCTATGGATAGAATGGCGGAGATTAATGAATAAGACGTTTTTAACTACATATTAAAATTTAACTGAAGCCATTACAGATACTTTGAGATATTTGATATAATACGGGCTCCCCTTAAATGTGCAGATATTTGATTGTTTATTTCTCATAGAAAAATTTGTAAAGAACGTATGAACATTTTCTGCGACAGCAACTACTACGTTCGTAAAGTATTACGTTCGTACTTATTACTTATAACTACTTCGCACAACATTGGCTGTGTCCTCTCTGCAGCTATTGTTCTGATTAAACTAACGAGCTTGAATCAGGCGCGTAGATTGTGATTAGTCACAATATTATGTACTCGGTAGAATTCTATACGTTATACAGCTGTTCTATACGTGAGAGTAATAATAATTTCCGTCACTTCTATTACAAAAGGAATTTTGCAAGATTTCGATACCCATCAGGAGAAATTTGAAATACGTTTACCGTGCATTTTGATTACGCGTTGTTATTGGAAAACTAATCATACCTTAGCTTGATACACGCAGCAACATACATTAATTATTTTAAGTAAATATAATTACCGTACATATACTCGTATTGCCAACACAATTTTAGGTTAAGGGGGTTTTAACAACATATAAACAGCTTTTTCTTCACAAGGCTTGCCTTTATTTTGGTTAAGTTGTGTGCCTGAAATTCCGCAAACACTGCATTGATCATCCCTTTCCTGCTGGCTGCCAGCGAGGTCACTCAGTTCTCCTAAGAGTTGTCGCATGTCACGCATCAAATCTGCTGCAAATGGCCTCTTTTTGATATCCACTTCTAAACACCGTATAATCATCTCTTCAAACGGTGTCGCAATTTTATCATCGATCACAGGGAGATAACCGGCGATTATTTGCGTTGCCAACGCAATATTATTTAGATCTTTAAAGGCCACGGGCAGGCTTCCTTTGTTGGCAAGCATTTTGTCTTCGATACCGAAGCAGCAGTTGGCGAGATCGTGTATAATACATCCAACGCTCCAGATATCCGCTTTTCTTCCAACATCTCTGTATTCCAGTGAGAACAGTTTCTTGAGACATTCTGGAGACGTGTAACGAACGGTCCCAAAGGCGCTGGGAAAGTCTTGAGAATTACTATTGCTCTGCTGCATCGGAATAATAGCGTCGAGGTCACCGATGAGTAAGCTGTGGTGGTGATCCTTCGGCTTTACAAGAACGTTACCGGGCTTCAAATCTCCATGGATGATATTATTGCCGTGTAAGTATTGCACACCATCAATAATTTGCGTAGTATAGCACAAGGCTTCCCACTGGGCGAGGGGAGATTTTTCGCTTTTACGTCTACCCATAAGCGACGCCAAATCTCCACCTAAAAAATGGCAGAACATTATTGTTTGTTTATACCGTGTGCATAAACAAACGCAGACAAAATATTTAGGGAATGGCTACTGCCACGCCCCTACACCCTCCTTTTAACCTTTGTCGACCCTTTCAACCCCTTTTGCATTCTCCTGTTCAAAATTATAATTATAATTAACACCATCTTTGGTTATCGCAGTACTGTATTATTATTACAATTTCGAAATACTGCCACCCCTTAGCCAGTTAAACTTTTTCATGACTTTATTGGTAAGCCGGCTGATCAGCCAACTTATCTTAAATGTCTTCTACTAAATGCCTTAGCCGGCGCACCTTTATCATTAGTTGATGTTTCGCGATCGTCAGACCAAAAATAGTTACCGGAAATGGGGTTAGTCAGCAGAGGTGGTAAAGTGCAGACCAATGTCCAAACTTGGCAACTGAAAAGCCAAGCTGGTCGATCTGCCGCTTGTGTAACCGTCTGCGACCAGATCCTTTTAATCAATAACCATGATTGCTTCGACATCAGAGCAAAAACAATAGATAGACAGAAATGGGAAAAGCAGGCGGGTGACTTTTCAGAGGTCCCAGATATACGGCGAACTATTTGAATCGAACTTATAAGTGGCACTTCAAAATTGCTGATGCCGCAGGAAGTTCTTGTATAAGAACTCTTTGTTGTTGCTATGCGCAACCTTGCGCATAGCAACAAAGAGATGCCTTCCATCGCACGGTAACGAACGTTAATGCTTTACAATAACCGCCATTACAACCACGACAGGGTAAAGTAGGGAAATTGAAGATAAAAAATGGTAAACGGCCTTTAGCATGTCAAATAACTCCATTATACATGCGGCCGTTTACGAAATATTGAAATAAATTGAGAATCCAAAATATTATTAGTAACGTACTGCAAAAGCCGCGCTCAGCGCTTTTTTGAGCGTAATCGGTGATTTATATTAATTTTGGTAGTTTTGCCTGCCGGTATTAGCTGGGACAGACAGATAGGGAAATTGTGGTGGTGGTTATTTGTAAATAAAATGATAGTTGATGCTGCTAGGCCACAAGCCAAATGAAGTGCAACAGAGAGTAATACTCGTAATATTATATAAAGACGTGTTGACTTTGATTCATTAGAATCAGAGGGTGCCAATGGTCACACCGAGTTACTTAAAATGACTGCCATTTACAGCCAGGAAGCGTAAGAAACGTACTGTTTTTCTACACTCTGGCCAGTGCGAATATAATTGAATCCGCTAACAGTGTTGATTTTTTACTAATTATAATCACGGCATTTTTACCACTGTGAAAACATATTTGTTACAGTGTCACAATTTATACAGAGTAGGTTATTAATAATACAATATTACGCAATATAATATTACAATATAATATTACAACATCACGCACGCGTTCCGACACGTTCGAAAAACGGCAAATTTTAACGGCAACCTCTCCTTGTATTTCTGCGTCATCACCATGATGCGTAATCGATGCCAGGTGTACCGAACCAAACGCTCCGGTCCCGAGGACGCTTTGGACGTTGTAAGTGTACTGACAGTTTCTCCCACACCAGTACGGTTCTTCGCTGGTGGAGCTGCCATCAGTGTCCATGACAATGATAAATCAATTTTTTTATCAAGGCCACTCCTTTGTCCAAGCAAACTGAAATATTCAACAAGGCGGAAACTATTCAAAATGCTAACTTCATGGTATTGGTATATTGTTGTTTTCCATAAATACGCGTTTAACAAGAATCGAAGAGCTTCTGTGATGATTGTACAAGGCATAGGTTATTACACAGATTTATTCAGAGAAGTACCAACTTTGTACAGATACGCATCGTCTGCCAGCACGTACCAACTAATTTCAGTCTCCTACCAATTTTCACCGAACTAAACGACTTCCTGTTTAGTCAGCCACTAGTTCAAGCAGATGATTCATTGTTCCAAGCCCTATGCGCGCGATTCTAATTAGATTGGTGTTCAAGTGATCATCGCACTTACAAAATTATACTTTATTGAACCATTAGATGACGCGCTGCGGGCATGAGTAATGCCGAGCTGTATAAGGTACACTGTGCTAAGTTGCAAACTGCAAAGTAAATGCGATGTTTTTATTAGATAACTGCTTTCAGCAGAATAGTTTAAACATCTCCGCTGACTAAACTGATTTAAAAAGTAAAACAACTAATAGAACACTGATTTGGCATCTGACTACTTGACTACCTGCATCTGACTACTACGAGTAGTACCGGTAATAGTACAACTGCATGCTTCGAATGTACCTCGTATATAGGGCTACAGGGCCCGCTCGATAGGCTTGCACCACAGAGTCTGGTGTACGGAAATCATCGCACACGCTAGAAAAAATAGATGTACCGCCAGTAGGAGTGTTAATTGTTTTTTCTCTACGGTTTATTGGTCCACCCAACAAGCGGAGAAAGCTTCACAGGAATACGAAGATATCTTGAACCTACAGAGTATAACGTCCTGAAAAAAGACGTCATGCGAAGGATGCGCGATTGAGTACGGAAATTGGCGCAGTCGCCACTGAAAGTTCGTTTTTGAAAGTGGTGGAGGAAAGAAAGAGCAAAAATGATTTGCCGCCCGTTAAAAACCTGGTCTAACTCAAAGAAGAACCGTTATTGTAGTACAGCAGCGCTGTAGTATAGCGCTATTCTACTTACATGGTACAGCATAGGCGTTAATATCACGTCGCCACACACATGGTACCGTTACTAATTACTACCGTATGCCGTCAATATTTTTTTTGTTTTTACCATTAATAAGTATCGCACGCAAGTACGCATTTATCTGTAGACTGTAGTTACTTTGTTTTACCGCTACTACATGCTTTGTGGGGTGCGGATACAACGGACTGCGAATTACAGTATAAAATACTTCACAAGTGTGCATCGGCAAAGTAAGTACGTACTAGTACGATTTTCTTATCTTGAAACAGTAACTGTTGATAGCAGAGTGGAGATAGTAAAGCTTTTTTACTACTAGCGTAGAACTGATGTATACAACTGATGGAGGCACCTGGCAGAGGCCATAATTATTAGGTACTTTCAGTGTTGACTGCCTTATGATAATGCAGCCCAATGGCCTGTGCGTCATGCTCCTATGTGTCATTCAGAGATAACGCAAGCGTTGTGCATTGGTTTCTTGCAACAGTCAACACATGCCCACTTTAAGGGCAACACTGCCTAACGGTAAATCTAGTCTCGACTAGATTTTCCGTTGGGCATCGTTGACTTATCCATGCATTGTGCGTGTTACACGTTATACGGTGTACACACGGTGAGTGCAGTGCAACTGCCCTGCACTGCACGTTAATGCTGTTGATACTGTAAGTCTGTACTGTTATCGACGCTGTGAAATAACAAATCTAGATTTACCATAATTACGAACGCGGAGAGATGCATATGCTAACATTGATTTAATGACTTTAAGATGGCATTCATTACTAATTAGGTGGTAATTTCGCGCAACAATTATTAATTAATTAAGCAATATTAAAAGCTAACTAGATAGTCATTCAAGACGGGAGTAATTAGCTTTACCGATGTATTGAAGATAATTGGATATACAGTACAGTACATAACAGTAACATCAGTAACATAACATACAGTAACATTTTCGCGCTATTTTTTTGCATGTGCGATGTGAAGATGCATAAAGTACAGTACATGCGCTCGGTTGTTTATCAACAGGCTGACTTAGTGTAAGTTCGGTCATTCACATATCGCGGCAGTGACAGTTGGTATGTTATCGCATTATTGGGTAGTTTTTTACGCGTCATTTGTTGTTACTCACTGCCACTTGGCTTTTTATAAGTCTGACTTGCGGTAAGTCAACAGAAATGAAACTCTATATTATCTTGGTGCAAGTGCGTGCGATATTCGTACCACTGACAAGTACAGAAATTTACTTTACAGTTACTTTGCAGTAAGTACGCACGCACTTACTTTACAGTAAGTGCGTACGCACGGCCCTGCCGGATAGTAGATTACGCCAAACTTGATTAAATTGGAATTTGAAGATTCATATTTGCCGGCTGGGTAAAATCGCTGCCGATTCAGGAACGCGCTCTATGTTAGCTTTTGGTGTGTTTTTTTTTTCGTAAAACCCGGTGTGCAGTGAGGCATTTAAAAACACAAAATGCTCCGGTTTGACAAATACTAATGCAAACGCCATCGTGAGGATTATCCTTGAGCTATACTACTAACTTTAATTGCTTGCATGCCCAATTGTTCTGCCGCTCTGCAGCATAACTGACAAATTCAATAAGTTTACTTATTCTACTGATACTGCCAAAGAGCAGAGCATTCTTTGCCTTTAGATAACGACAATGTCCCAAAAAAAATTACTGCTTGGCAGTAATATATTGTTCAAGCTGATTGGGAACGCCGATTTTTGACACATAGTCGAACGGCAAAGGTTCCGTTAAGCTTGGCAGTTGAGTTGGTTAAAGGGCTTGAGTGGCTTCGGACTGATGTGCTGTTTGTTGACTGAGGATCTGCTCCACGCGCTGCTGGACGCTGGTCGTGTAACCCGAACGGTCACGGCTCAGCAGCCATAAAAACTCTGCCAAATAACGCAAAATTAGCATTCCTTTCGTATCTGTCTGCCAAAAACGATTTAAAAATTGGCTGCTTTCTTACCGCTTTTGAATGGTCCGAGATTGCGGCAAGCGTATGCTTGCAAATTAACCGGTCAAATTCATTATTTGAACAGTTATGTCGTCTTTATCGGTGCATTGTCACAGTTCCTCAAAGTATTGTTGTGTTGGTCAAAGGTTGTGCACCTGCAACTGAAAATGCGGTGTAATCAGTATCAATCACCCAGTAATCTCCAGCCGGCTGATTTTCTGCAGAGGAAATAATAAAAGCTTGCATAATGCTGATAAAATACAGACAGCTACGTAATTAGAGTGAAATGATTCCTTCTAACGTACCGTTAAACTTGACCAGCAGTTTAGCCAGAATACTGGCGTCGGGAACATACGCTCGACCAATGGCGGAATCAAGCTGGCCGTTGCTGTAATTAAAGGATGTTTATTAGCAGAAATTCAAATGCCAATAATGTCCAACAAAAAACAGCAAACGTACTTTTGGCGGCCGGTGTTGTTGACCTTTACATCGCCGTCGGAACGAATGCTATAATTGGCGGTGACGCGGTCCAGTCCGATTTCGAAGATGGTGAAGTAGCGCTGTTGTTCATACCATCTTCCCAGATACTGCAATGAAAACCAAAGAGAGTATTAATTTCGCAATTCAAAGAAATACAAATCATTCAAAACGCTACGCTTGTGCTTCAAAACTCGAGTAAATCATGGTACAATTATAACGAAAAATGTAGACTTACTTGGGAAAGGTCAAAGTCTTGCTTGACCGTAACGGGCGCGCATTTTCCGATACTGATGACCTGTGCATCAGTCGCGACAGCGCACAACACCAATGCGGCAACAAGAATCTGTGCGAACATTTTCGGTAAAGACGTGGTAATAAGAAATTTAAGCATAGAATAACAAATCATTGACGTTTTGAAATGTGTGTAGTTTACGTGTGTATTTATAGTCAATTCACCGCTGTGTATGTAAACAGAGAGTACAAGCAGAAAATGCCATTTGTCAGTCGTTATCAAATGTAGAATGTGGATTTTCGAGATCATGCGGGGAAAACCGGAGAAACGACAGACTTTAGTCGCCACGTTTGACATTTTCGGCGAAAAAAACAGCGGTCTGCACAAAAGCCTTATCTCTGCTGCACAGCGGCCAATCTACCGAAATTTGTGACCAGTTCATTCATTATCGCGTGTCACATAATTATTCCAAGAATTATGTAGCCCTGTTATTATTTGCCAAAATGCTCATTTGCTGATTACACATTCACAACGATGCACAAGTTACAAGTAATATACGCAGTAGTACGTTAAGAGTGGTAGTGTGCCATTTTTCAATTTTATAATGTATAGGATTTAGAGCCAATTTTTTTAGTACTGTGAATGCGAATTAATGATTTCGCAGGGGAAAGTGGGGGGGGGGGGGTTCATTGTATTCCCTGCGATGTAAATATGAGCTTATATATTTTGTTATCGCAAGTGGGCTGTAGCCCCTGCGAAAACGGATTACGGCGTTGGCACCAGTTGGGCTGGTTCTAGTCCAGCCCAACGGGTTGAATCAAACCGGAAAAAAGTATGACTGTTGTTTTTGTTCAAAAAGACACATAATCGATTGCGTCAGCTGAAATTTATCGACTTTAACCGATCTGCAGTAGCAACTTAACGGCATTAAACCGACATTCAGAAGTATGCTGGTGTTCGAACAAAACGGCTTCGTTACTAAAACGAACTTCACAAGCAGGACACACAAAACACATTTCGGTAGGTGCGGTCGTCGGAACTGGTGCAGTGGCAGCCCCGGGACGGTTGGTTGTGCAGTGTTTGCTTTTCTGATGGCGGTTCATAGAACGGGATTGTATGGCACGTTGGCATAATGGACAGGTTATCATACTGGGCTTCCCTGAATGTTTTTCTCTCCAATGGCGAATAAAGTCATCTTTCCGACCATAATGTCTGGGACACATACTACAAGTAAATCGTACGCTGTGCATTTTATTAGAATAACGGGAATACTACAACAGCAACAACTGAATAACTAGAGCACTGTAATTTATACGCGAGTCGACCTGCCATGTACCTGTGTCAGGCACCGTTGCTACGCAATTGCGATACCAAGCACCGTTATGCAAAATGGAAAATATATAAGAAACCGAACAGATTGTCAACTAAGTTATATTTTTAGTAATTCCTACAGCGTTGTAAAATCACTGTGTTGGCATCATGAGTTTTCTGGCTAAACTTAACAGCGGTTTCGAGCATTTATGGACTCTCCCACCGCACACTACTAGCATTAACCTCGATGGGCGTCGCCTTGAAGTGGTCAATGGGCGCCGTGAATTTGAAGCCCTGACTGCGTTCCCTAACCTTACGGTGCTGAGTATGCGCAACTGCGACCTTTATAACCTCGGTGCTATCCCTTTCCTGCCGAATCTGCAGACGTTGATTTTGAATGATAACAATCTGTTGATGCGGGGTTGTGTGGAGCGTTTAGTTAAGCAGTGCCCTAATCTGATCAAGCTCTCGTTTGCTGATAATTGGTTCGGTGAGAGAAGTGCGTTCCATCCGCTGATGGATTTGACGAAGCTGAAGGAACTGGATTTGTTTAGGAATCCGGTGTGGGAGCGGCACGTACCGCAATTGTTTCTGCTGGACTTTTTCCATAACAAGCTGGAGTCGTGGACGGTTGAAGATGAAGTTTTAGATACGTATTAGTACTTAATGGTCTGCTTGCTGTTCTGTTGCCTTGTCATCATACCGGTTTTGATATGTGCTAGCAGTTTCGGTTGTTATGATATTATTTTCGAATTAAACATTTGTCAGTTAGTAAACAAGGCCTGCGTTTTCTTACTAATTTATTCATTTGCAAACAGAAGGTTATTTTAAGCATGAGCACTTCGTAATAGCTTAAGCGGCAAAGATGTGAGCAGTGCAATAATCAAAAAGCAAAACAAAAAAGATCCGGTAAAGAAAGAAATAGAGAATCTTAGCTTACCCAAAGCTAAATCGGACAGCTAGTCATCAACACCGTGTTCGGTATCGCTGTCGGAATCGTAAAAATCCACAAAACTCTTCTTGACATTGGGAAAGCAGCGCTCCATAAACATATCGAATTGCACCAGAGCGCAAACGTCATTGTCTTCGAGATCCAGCGATTTCAGGTTAGGCAGAAGGCGCAGTGGTTCCAGTTGGGAAATGTAGAACAGAAAGTTGTTGGCGATTCCCAAACGTTGCAACTGTGGGCATGCTTGCTGGATAGGTGTCAGCTCGTCAATTGCATTGTCATGGAGGGTGAGGACACGCAGCTTCGGTAGTACAGGAAAACCAGCCAAGTCACGTATACCACAATCGATAGCGCTTAGCTTCTCCAAGTCGCGAAAGCGGGAAAGTTCAGTCCATGAGTCGTTTTGTATGTCACGACCGTCAAGAATGATCTCAGTGACGTCAGAGTTCAAGGTGCGGAGATACTGGGATACGTTTAACATTTTCGACCAGTTAGGCATGTTGGTATCTAGTTAATGGCAAAATAAATGAAAATGAAGATCTACATGTGCTACTGAACTTTAGATATTGTAGGTACCTGGCACCAAGTACGGTACCTGGCCAATGTTAGGGTGCTTGGTGCATGGTACCTGACACACTGGTGCTCATTGTTTTACCTTTTGCGATTTTATATTATTTTGCCCTTAAAATCAGATAATGAGTTTTATCCAAGAATTTACATCTGATATAACGGTACTATATCCTCAGTACCGAACATTTATAGCGCGATTTCAAAGTTTTGACGAGTGGAAAGCGCGAAATCCGTATCGACGTCTTGGAGCAGTTCTATTAGCTGAAGCTGGTTTTTTCTATACGCCAACATCTACTGATTTTGCTGAATGCTTCTGCTGCGGTTTACGTTTATCCTTTTGGGAACGCAGTCAAGATGTGTGGTATGAGCATGCATTGAGAAACCGTATGTGCACTTACGTTGGAGATATGCGTGGAACGGGCTACCTTACAAACGTTTCAAGACGTAATCAACCTTCTCAACCTACGAACGAACTGGAGTGGGGTGGATTTTGGTTTCCTCATTTTTAAAGGTAAACAAAACATATATTAGCAATTATTTAAGCATCGTACAGCTGACCGTTTCGTGAGTCGAAGAGCTCCCGAAATTCGGAATGATCGTTATTGCGGACCACGACCACACCGATCATGGTATTCCGGGATCTGCGGTCTATAAAGATGAACTGCGTCTAAAGTAGTGCGTGAATTTGTTTGGTGTTGTTACCGTACCAAAAGGAAACTCCCGCGGTTTCTGCTGCTTGAAGAGACGGAACGCTGGATGTAAGCTACAGCGTCATGTTTCGTACAGACTGGTTCCAGTAATCGCTCTGTAAAACTTTTCCTACACCTTCTGTAACGATAATAACAGCAAAAACTATAAAAAACACTACGTAAAGAATAATTAATAAAATCTTTTCGCATTTCTGCTGGACGCTCAAAGCGTCCGGAAGCATATGCTGTAGACTAGCCATGTTCAGCCTTTTGTGTAAAACCAACAACGCTTAAATAGATGTCTATTGCTTTTCTGCAGATATGGACTTGGAAAAACGACTCAAGACTTTCAAGCATTGGCCGTTGGCTGTAGTTTCGCCTTTTGCGCTAGCGGAAGCGGGTTTCGTATACACTGGGGTGGACGATCGGGTGAAATGTGTTCTCTGTCACTGTTACCTTGCACAATGGGCTATTGGGGACAATCCTCTTTTTGAACATCGTCGGATCAAACCCGATTGTAGTTTTGCGGTTTTGATCAAGGAAGGTGAAGTCTACGTTCCGCGGATGAGCCAGTACCGCGAGCGGTTTGCTACCTTTGCCAACTGGCCTGACCATTTACAACAACGTCCGAAAGATTTTGCCCATGCGGGACTATTTTCTTTGGAAAGCGGAGATTGTGCCCAGTGTTTCTCTTGTGGTCAACGTATTGAGCACTGGGAAGCCGAAGATGATCCCTGGATAGAACATGCAAAATTTTCCCCGGACTGCCCATATTTGATCGAACAGAAAGGGCAAGTTTTCATTACCGATGTTCAACGACGCTGTGGTCTGGAGCATAATCGATGGCTCTTTCAAAACGATGAAGACGAGCATGACGAGTATATTGTCATGTGTGCACTAAACAACGGTTACCATTACACACACATCGTGCAAGCCTTAAAAGAAAAACGAAAGCAATCCATCAAACGATTTCGGACGGCTGAAGAGCTTTACGAAGCATTGAACGCTATAAAAGATCGTATAAAAGAGGAGAGCAAGGCTGTTGGTGAACCGGATCTGGATAAAGAATGCCGAATCTGTATTGCCAAGAGCGTTACAGATGCGTTCGATCCGTGTGGACACGCTGTGTGCTGCCATGATTGTGCGGTAAAGGTGCAAAGCTGTCCGATCTGTCGCCGCGGAATCAAAAAAGTTATTAAACTGTTTTTTGCTTGAGATAACATTTAAGTGGGCGCTTATGCATAGATTATTGAATATCGCAACATGTATAGCATTGTTAATGAATATCCGCGCTTCATTGCGCCATTTGGTATGAGTGTTTGCGGTCCCACAATGTCGGGGAAATCGCAGTTTGTTTTTCGGTTAATTGAAGAGCGGGATCGATTATTTGATAAACCACCAGCAAAAATCCTTTATTGTTACGGTGCATGGCAAAAAGGTTTTGAAAATTTATCGCCAGCAATAGAATTTGTTAAAGGATTGGACGAGCTGTTTGGCTGTTGTGAATCGTTAGACACCAGAGTGCACACATTAATAATTATTGACGACTTGGCGACCGATCTCTGCAAAGACGTACGGTGTGCGAACCTTTTTACACGCGGAATCCATCACAAAAACATTTCGGTCATAGTACTTCTACAAAATCTATTTAAGCAAGGCAAGACTATGCGGGACATCACTCTGAATCTCCAGTATTTAGTCCTTTTTAAAAACGTGAGAGACGTGAACCAGATATCGTTGTTAGCCCGACAGACCGGATTGCGACATCTCGTTGATGCTTATAACAAAGTTACGTCGCAACCGTACCAACCCTTAATTCTGGACTTGCGATCAACGTGCCCAGAGTACTTACGTATCCGTTCTCATATCTTTCTCAACGAGCATATGCGCATTTACTTGGATCGCCATTCTTCACAACTACCAAAATGTCGGAGCGCGTAAAGTCTTTAGCACCGTTTGTCATTACCCTCCAGAATTTAAAACCGCGACAACGACGCGTTTTGATGAGTTACATGAATAAGCCGCAAATGAAAGCTTTGGAAGAAATTGCCGTCAACATCGTGAAAAATACCGTGGCACTGACCCCCTCGCAAATGGATAAATGTAAACGCCATCGCAAAGCATTAAAGCTCATTGCGCTACGCCGGTATCCTCTCAAACAGAAACGCAAAATCTTGCAACAAGGCGGATTTATTGGTGCCATATTACCGGTTATTGCTGGCGTTCTAACTTCATTGATAGGAAATGGATGAGTATTATATTGTTCCTCGACGTATTATGGAAGAACGTCTGCATGAGAAAATACAGGTCAATAAAGAACCACCGGAAGCGAAAGCCGTCGTGTCATTGGACCAACTTATTGCCAAAACGTTACAAAGAAGTGATATAAACGAATACGAGAAAGCCGATCAATTGACCAGTATTTTGGAACGCTTTTTGGCACTAAAGCAAAAAGCCTTACCGGACGAAAACCCTGTGGAGATTTCAGACGAAACCGTGGTACAAACAGCACCGCTTAGCGATCAGAAAGAGCTGGAAAAGTTGCGCAAGCGCAAAAGAGGTGACGATGAAGAGCCGGAACAAGTGCAGAAACAACCGCGCCCACAATTATTTCCTCCGACCTTACCAACCAAAGGACAAAAAAGATTTATTGAAGAAGATCGTAAAACACCATTGAAGAGCAGTCGTATTGCCCTGTTTCCACCATCACTTCCGACTAAAGGCAGAAAGCGCAAACCTACGGACGAACATCCAAAAAGTCGTAAGCAGCGGCGCGTACCATTGTTCCCCTTAACCACAAGAAGGAGGAAAACGGAGAGCGCCAACGAAGATACCGGTCGAAAATTGCGCTCACGCACTCTTCAAAGTGGTAGTGGAAAACATAAAATCCAGTGGATAACCCTGCCATAATGTCCAGTTTAATTCCCACTGTTTTGCGACTGTGTCGGATATTTAAGATCAACTGCGTATCTAGTTGTTGTAACAATGGAGAAACTGATGAAAAAGTATCTGAATCCTCGCGATCCAGGCGGCCTTGGCGGCGTCGACAGGTTTCGAAGAAGTTTAAAGACCAGAGCCAACAAACGGAAAACACAGGAGATTTTACAGGAGATCGATGCGTACACTGTCAACAAAGAAACACGGAAGCGCTTCCGACGGAACCGCATAGTAACAACTAACCTCCGCCAGCAGTATCAAGCGGACCTGGCCGACCTGGCCAAGTATTCCAAGGAGAACGATGGATACAAGTACCTGCTATTTGTTATTGATTGTTTCTCCAAAAAGCTGAGTATCCAACCATTGAAGACAAAAACGGGTGTCGAAACGAAAGAAGCGCTGGCAAACGCGTTCAACGATTTAGGGGAGCCGGAAAAGCTGCAGTATGATAAAGGAACAGAGATGCTGAACAGTACCGTGATCAAGTATTTGAAAGACAAACAAATTCAATTCTTTACCTCCGAGAACGAAGATATCAAGTGCTCCATGGCGGAACGCGTTATTCGGACCATTAAAACAAGAATGTTCCGATTATTTCGATCCCGTTTATCGACGCGTTATATCGACAAGTTGCAAGACCTGGTGTACTCATACAATCATTCCAAACACCGTGCTCATGGAATGCGCCCGGTTGATGTGAGGCAAGGAAATTCGTTAGCGGTGTACAGTGCTTTGTACAAGAACAAAGATGCCAAGAAACCACGATTTAAAGTCGGTGACGCCGTGCGCATTGCAGTGCACAAAACCAAACTACAGAAAGGTTACACCTACCGGTTCAAAGAGGAATTATTCTACATTTATCAGGTTATCCCACATATCATTCCGGTTTATCGATTGAAAGATCATCAAAACGAAGTTATTAAAGGAACCTTTTATGAGAATGAATTATCACCAGTTTCTAATCCTCAACATAAAGAGTACGCTATTGATTATATTGTTAAGCGGCGCGGAAACAAAGCTTTGGTGCGGTGGTTAGGTTACGGACCAGAATACGATTCGTGGGAACCGCTATCATGTTTGAAGGAGCGCCTTTCTACATAACCTTACCCAGTGATGTCGCTACGGAGGCGGCCAACACTCCTTCCAATTGGACTACCAAACTGAAACATCCCATTACCTTGAAAGGCAAATGGGAAATGGCCCTGGTGGAGTTACAGTACTTGAATTCTTTTTATACTCTACCGACAGAGCAAAAAATTCAGCTCGATATCGTCCGCGAATTTCGTTTGAAAAAGGACGAAGAATTTATTGACAGTGCCAATTACGTTCTTCACCAAGAGATTCTGACGGTGCCACCAGGGAATTACAAAAATGCTGACCTTTTACTGCAAACTATTAATAATCTGGCCCCTACGATCGGACCGTACATGGTGGATGACGCTGTGCATCAGGACAAAAGTGCCTTGCCGGATAACAAAGCTTTTAATCTGCAATTCATGACGGCAACAAATCACCGAGTTAAATTACTTATCGGTAACGACCGTGTGTCCATCAGCTTTCCACCAGGATCGGTTACTCTGCAGAAGATACTGGGGTTTGAACAAGCGGAATTTAAACCGGACGTGCCCGCAGAAACTCATTCCAATGCCTTGGGACCCTTTCCGTTTGTTACCAAAACCAGTAGCATCAAGTATTTGTCATTTCTCAATAAAGCACCTCCACCTAAACTGACAACCTTCCTGTCGGAACGACCGGTGAACACTTTGCTAGGGAATCAAAGCCTATTTGTGTACAGTGACGTTGCCGATTACAGCTTGATTGGGGACACCGCCGCGCAGTTTTTGCGTGCTGTACCTATTAGAGGGGAGGTCAACCAAATTGTGGAAGCCCGTTTTGATATTCCCCACTATGTTCCCGTATTACGTCAACATTTTGAGACTATTAACTTGACTATTGCCAACGACTTGGGTGACGACGCTAAATTCCAGACGGGAAAATCACTAGTAAAATTACATTTTCGTCCACAACGCCTATACTGAAAATGCCGCTGATTGCCTATGTTCCGGACCCGCGGCGCTATGAAAGCGTTTTCGTTAGCCAAACGGGTGGTAGCGCTCTTATTCGGTACCGTGGCACGCTGCAAAATGGATCGGGGTTTCCCCAAATTTTGAAGAATTTGTTTGCAAAGATTAGCAACTTTGCCAAACCGATACTGCGTAGAGCAGCGCCGCATGCCAAAGCCGCACTGGAAGCCGCCACGCCTCACCTGCAAGATGCGGCAACCGGGGCTATTAAAGAAGTAGGAGCAAGCATTCGGAAACGACTAGCTTCTCAAGAAGGTGAAGGTGTTCGTAAAAAACGACGTATCAAACGCAAAGTGCATCGCGTAAAACGTATTCCACCAACTAGTATTCCTGACTTTCTGTAAACCATGGCGATGCTCATGATGGAACATTCCGAACCGGCCATGCAGCTAGAGAATCAGCTGTTTGCCTTACCGGCTACACTGACTGACCGCTGGCGTACCGAACATGAAAAACTAAATCCGACGACAATTTTGACGGACAATGGATCCGCTGGGGACATTAATTTCTTTATTCCACCTAGTACGGCTGGTCTGCTCAGTTTGGCGGACATGATACTGGAGCTGGAAGTGGGTATCAAAGTGCGAAAAACTACCGGTGACTGGGAACTGGTTACAGCGGATGATGGGGTGGCACCGATTAATAACTTTTTGCACTCGCTCTTCTCGTCATGCCATGTGACAGTAGCCAACCGATTGATCTCGGATGCGGCAACATTCTACCCGTACCGGGCTTATTTTGAATCGTTGCTGTCGCACAACAAAGAGGCCCAAAGCAGTCAGCTAACTTCCGCTGGATTTTATCTGGACACGCCAGCTAAACACAATGACGAAACGTCTAACCAAGGAGAAAAAAACCGAAAATCCCTGTTTCAAACCGGACAATACGTTCAACTTTCCGGTAGACTATTTTCCGACATATTTGATCAAATTAAGCCGCTTTGCACGGGTGTTCCTGTGAATATCCGGCTAGTGGTTAGTCGCCCGGAATTTGCGCTACGAGTATGGGATAAGGATGCCACGAAAACGTTTAAGCCATTCATTCGGAATGCCCGATTATCCGTTCGACGCTATATTCCCTCCCCGGATTTTTTGACAGCCGTTGCTGGCGAATTATTAAAGAAAACCGTCAAGTATCACATTGAGCGAGTAGTTATGCGCGTTTCGGACATTCCCCAGAAGACACAGAGCACCGTGGTTAGCAATTTGCAAATTGGGCAAATACCTAAAATTGTTTTCATTGGATTTGTCGACAGCGAAGACTTTCACGGATCCAGTAAAAAGAATCCGTTCAATTTCCAGCACTTTAACATCACGCAAATTAGTGTGGAAGTTGATGGTCAGAGCTATCCAACTAAACCGTACATGTGCGACTTTGAACGGAACCTATCTTTGGAGTGTTATGATGGATTGCTCGATACTTTGGGACATCGACCCAGCTTACACGGTGGACTACCATTCAACCGCACCGAGTACAATCAAGGCTACACCGTATTTGGTTTTGATCTCACTCCCGGACATACCGGTCGCGGACCACTAACGCTTATTAAGCAAGGAAATCTGAGCGTTTCAGTTTCTTTCGCCAAACCATTAACGACAACGATCATGATGGTGTGCATGTTGATTTACGATAGCATTATCGAAATTAACCAACATCGCCAGCTAATTGCTGATTTTTCAACATGAACACCGAGCAAATTACCAGTTGTTTACGTGGCAATCCCGTTACCACACAATTGTTTCGGGGTGTGTTTGCCAGTGACCAGGTGCCGACATGTTTAGCCCCGTATCCTGGAGCATGTGTGGTAAACACGGACCCAGCTGACCGAGACGGTGCACACTGGATAGCCTTGTTTCAACCTCAAGCAGGAGTGTTGGAAGTGTTTGATTCGTATGGTAAAATGTTTGAATCATATTCTCCTAATTTTCGTGTGCTAGCCATGAATAACTCTATTGTTTGTCAGTCCGAACAATTTCAGTCGGAGCATAGTACCGTGTGTGGTCAATATTGTTTATTTTTTGTTTTGCGACGAGCCAGTGGAGAATCATTTACTAATATTGTGCACTTGTTTACCGATAACCGCATAAGCAACGACAAAATGGTTTGTCAATACGTCAATTCTTTTTTTGATATTCATACAACACTGGTGGACGGTTCTTTTCTCCGTCAGATTTGTCAGCGGTTATTTAAATAAATTATGCAAAAAATGCTTATGGTTGCTCGTAATAAATATAGGCACCAACAAAAGATATGCAAAATGAAAAGATACATAAATAGGAAACCAGTATAAGCTACTCCACAAATCCCAGATCATACAGTCATTCATAATCAGGGTTCAAACCACAGTTTACCTGATTACGGATCTGGCTTTCGTTAGTGTCCACATACTTGGCGACATCCAAATCCAGTGCTTGCTTGGCGCTCAACTCTTCATGTCCGAACAAAATGCCTTGGACTATACGGGCATCCAACAAACGTTGAACCGCTTCCTCCCATTCCGTATCGGTCAATGGGTCGTCACGCACAATCAAACCACCATCGGGGCAGCGCTCCATACGTTCGCTGATCAGTTTCACCAGCGCATCCCCAATATCGTCAGATAACGTTGCATACTCTAATCCTTTCTTGTTGGCGTCCACCTGCCCAACTGTTTCGTCAACGCTGACAATGTTCTTCAACAGCGTAAAATCCTGCAGCAGCTCTTTCAGTGCGTCGTAGCATTTCTCCCCGAAAGAAATTCCGTTCTTCGTAGGCACCAGGTCACCGTCTTTAGACAGCTGATAGCGACGGATACTAGCAATGTTAGAGTTTTTGTATCGGCTCCAGTTAAAGTACACTCCTTGGTCCAGTTGAAACAACGGAGTCAAGCGTCCGCTTTCCGCTGACATATCGCGCGCCACTGGGTCAAGATCGGCTTTTCCGGTCAGCAGCAACGAGGCCAGGCGTAAGAATCCCTTTTTGTTGACACCAATCATTTTTCCCCATGTCTGCTTCCATTTACCGACCGGTCCCTCTTTCCACTCACCAATGATAACCTTCGTTTCACCCCACTGACGCCCAACGTGAACAAACTTATCGTTACCCAGGCGGTACACTGGTAAACCGTTCTCCGTAAAAGCCAGGCGAGCATGACCTTCAACGGGTTTGGCACGACGCTTGGTCAGCGGCTCCGTTACCGGTTCGTCCACGGCCTTTGGTGCCGGTTCCGGACGACGGCGTTTGGGGACAGGTTTAGAAGTAGTTGATGGCTCCATTTCGTGCAGAAGAAGAACAAACTAGTTTGAGAGTTGCAAAACAGTAACTGTGAAGAAAGAAAAATGATTTGAAGGCAGACATTTGTTGTACGCACAATGTTGAACAGAGTACATGGTGCCAGGTACTGGTACATGACCAAGCATCTATACCTGGCCATGTACAGCAGACAGTTAAGACTATTTAAAGGTACCATACCCATAATGATATTATATGCTCCACCATGGCACTACCATGTGTCTTAGATGCCGATTGGTTTGTAATTGATAAAATTAAATATATCAAACAGTTGGCATTCTCCTGCCCTGAAAAACACGAAAGTGGTCAGTACACATTCAGCTTGCCACGGTTAGCCTGCAAACATGCTCGTGAACTTCAGAAACAAGCCAAACATTCTCACGGTTTACTTTGGAGCACCCTTGGCGATTACCGACACAATCAAGTTGCCGTGGCCTTGAAGACATGTTCAGCCGAATCGGTCGTCCTTCCGAGCTGGTCTTTTACGCCAAAGGTTTAGAAAAGTGCCGCCTGTTGGAACGTTACGTGCCAGAGACTGTGAATTTGGAGGACTTGGGCTGTCCACTATATCAGCATTTGACCGACGTCCCGCAAACAACACTGCGCAAAGCTATTCGTTTTGGTTTGTGGTTTTACTGCCATGCCAAAAATCATGAATGTCGTTGCCGTTGCGGATTTAAACACTACCCTGAACCTGAGGATGATTGAAAAGAAGTTGCCTATGGCACAGTACATTCCCCGCAAATTTTCTGGTTTACTCATCCGCATCCTCTCACCTTATAAAGCTCACTGCCAGTTGTATAGCAATGGAAAGATTACTGTCAACGGCGCTCGCTCGGAATCTGCGGCTCAAGAATTAGTTGACTACTTTGCCACTCTGTTACGGTCGGTAGGATACATTTGTCAAGTGTCAGGGTTCCGTGTAGTGAACATTGTTGTTTCTCATAGTTTTGGAATTCGTATAAATTTGGAAAACTTTAGTCAGAAACATACGCTAGAATACACACCGGAATTGTTTAGCGGTTTATGCATAAAACTGACTATGTGTACTGCCGTTTTGTTTTCATCAGGGAAATGTAATTTTCTGGGTTTGAAACAGATGGCTGATATGGGTGTCGCTGTTGACTTGGTTGCTCAGATGATACAAAAAATGAAATAAATTTATTCAATCGTATAACCATAAGGAACAGTGTTCCAGTTTTGCGTTATGCGCCGCTTATCATACGTAACTTGCAGACGCTTCGTAATATCAACATTACACAACACCAGTTTAGACTTGACACGCTTAATGATATCGGCATATTGCACATCAATACTTCCCGCATTATTAAGAATATTTATCATGGACTCCATATTAATTTTGCCTTTGATCTGGTTGGTAATGGTGAAACCTTTAATCTTTACAACCGAGCTTCCATCGCTTGTCAGATAGGCATAGGTTTTGGCACCCAGGCTGACAAACTGGGTAATGTGCTGTCCCGGTTTCAATTCATTGGTCAGATCGCCCAAGAAAGTGCCTGTGGGTGGATCCGATACTCCAGGTTTTGATACAAAAAAAATGGAATCTGCACACCAAATAACGGTTAATTCAGCGTAATTTAAACAGTGGAACTGTTAATTACCTGTATCAAAATACAGCAGCCGATCCTTGACCATCTCCATGAACTGGTATAGGTGCAAACGTGCCCAACAGGTCGTAAAGCTAACCAAAGTTTTTCGATTAGTTTTAGCCTTCAAGTTTCATGAACTGATACTTACGCGGCCAGCACAACGTTGGTATTGGGGTTCTGCTCGACAAAACCATTTTCTTTAGTGAAGGTGATTTGCACAACATCCTCGTCAAACAGATCCCAAGAGTGCACGTGATATTGACCAGAAAATAACATTTCATAGAATGTTTTCGGGTCATGGATATACATGGTATTCAGTTTATTATCTTGCATTCCCAGTCGGCCCCAGAAGCTGTTCAGGCATAACTTAGCCAAAGCTCGTAAACCCGGATTTTCGTTAATTTTACCGTAATCCAACTTTACACCTTCCCGTTCTTCAAAATCATCAATGTACCTTCGTTTTTCGTTTTCGGTGGTAATCCCTGGTGGCCAGCCGCTAGCTTCCGTCTTGATTTTTAAGAAACGGTCAATGTATTCTTTAAACAAATGGTCATCGAACTCTTCGTAATGCCACACTTCGTAGATTCTGGTGACAATGTATCCGCGATCCATTGCGTAATGCAACTCCGGTGTGCACCAAGTTCCGGTCAGTTCCCTTTCTTGATCCGTATGCTCACACTTTTTCATGTTCTGCTGTTTCACACACGTTGCGCACAAAGGGAAAGTCAGCTTACCGTTGCAACGGTATGGCAGAATTGGAAGCCATAAGTCCCCGGGTGGTAAAACCGCACAATGCACCACACCAAGGTATCCCCGAATATCATCAAAATTCTTGGTGAGAATGACAGGGTGACCAAGTGGATAGCGACGATTTTTATTCACGAAAGGATATTCACTGTTCACGTCAAAATACATGATCTTTTCTCCGGGTGTTACCGTATGCAACAACCGTACGGCATTTGTCCGACCGCCATAAAATGCATTCCGAGGGTTCAGTGGTTCGGTGATCCTGACGTTGGCTATAAATTTGCGCATATCGGAATTTATACGAACTTCGGCATCAAAATCATGCTCCCATATAACCGTGACTGGATGACCCAATGAGCGCAGATACTGTTCCCGCATTTCTGTTTCTTTATGAATGTCCCGCATTGGCAGGTTTCGAAAAGGGTGTATTGTGTCGGTGCCAACACAGGAAGGGCAGCCATGATACCAGCATCCGTAAAATTCGTAAATATGACCAGTATCTACCCGATAGCCATCCACATAATAGGGACCAATTTTTTGCTCCGTGCCTGAAACCACCGACTGGATGATGCAGCTGTCTTCCTCCTCCATCCACGATATCCATTTCATAGCTTTCACGGACTGCAAGCGATTGCGAGCGAATCGTTGCTGTGGTACCAGACCAATTTGATCCGGTTTCAAAATAAAAGATCGCCAATACAGATTGCACAACCCAGCGATGGTCAGAGCCGATGTAAACGGGCAGAGGCCGTTGCTAATTTCCATAAACAAAGTGCGGAACTGCTGGCAACATAAACGCAGAACGGTAACATCATTCTCACAGTAAGTCACAAATTCTTTACGAAAATCAAAAAGTCCGTTTTTGGCAAGCACGTCCGCCTCATACCATTCTTTGAACGAGGCTTGCGTTTTCTTGTCCATCGTGCGGAAACCATATTCATCCATAGTAGGATAAGGCACGACGCGATCCCAGTTTTCACGACGATTAAATTTATGGGGAAACGAACCTTTACCGATATCTGGTAGTCCAAATGTTGCTGGCCATTTGGCTAAGCTTTGCGGATTATAATTAATACTATCGCGGAAGTGAATATCATACCCCGGAACGTCCAACTGTAAAATCTTTCCACCATTCATTATGATCTTGGGGGTGACACCGTTTTTTAGTAGCCACCGAAGAATAAAATATCCATCAAATGCTTTAAAATTGTGGGCGATTATATAATATCCTCGATGGTTTTCATGGATCAAAAACTCGCATAGCTGGTCAGTAATGCCGGTTCCTAAGGGTTCGTCGGGTGACGGGAAGGTCCACTGAGTCCCTGCATCATCTTGGACGACTGCTAGATTCGGCACTAGTTGACCATCATCCCTGACGTACGTTTCAAAGTCAAAAAACAGAAAGTGGGCATTTTCATTTTTTTGACGCTCCTCGGCCGTGACCACGTGCGGTTTCATGAAACACTGGTGCGTTTCCGTTAAGACATGAACGTTGCAATTCTTACAGTATAGCTCTCCGCATTGATGATTGTTAACTCCTTTCCGGTTGCGTAGCGATACCACACATTGGCATTGCTTGCATACTGACACTGTACTGCAGAGACTTTTTGCATTTTTCCTCTTAGGAACTGCTTTGTGACGATCGTAACATCCGTCTCCATGAAAAGTGCGATTACAGTCGCCACAGTACATCGGGTTTGCCAGGTCTCGTTCACAGTCGGGGCGCAAACACTGTTGGCAAACACTGCTACAACGATGAGTGCGACGATCGCCATAGCCCTTGTTACAGTGATAGCACCAGTACGATCGTTTGAAAAAAGCTGGTAACGAGAGCAACAGATCAAAATGGTGACCGTACAGTAGAAGGACAATATGGCGGTCTTGGACTTTTCCGCTGTAGATGATACTGCTCCCCTGGTCCAGGCTCACAACAACAATTTGGTATCCCGGTAGAACAGCTTCAAACAGTGGAATGTCCGTCAGATCGTAAGCTTTCTTATCAGGCACTCCGGCTCGTCTAATCAATTTCTTGGTTTCATTGGTCAACAGCTTTTTACCCCGACGAAGACGGCGAATTAGTTTCTTGTCCCTGTCCGCATGCGCTTTGCCAAGCACCAAAGCTCGAGCCATGCAGGTATTATCAGAATTATTTATTTGCACAACCGATTTCATCTTTTTTAGCTTTCGGTACAATAACTGCGGAATCAACCGCCGACACCCCCCATGCGGTAGTTCAGTGTACTGTACTGATATTTCAAAAGTGTCGTCAAGAACAAAGTTCTCGTTTGACTGCAGTACCTTCTCAACTTCATCCATCCATCGTTGTACGGTAAGCTGAGAACGTTGAATGGGTGGTGTCCATATAGGGCGCTCCAACGAACGGGAATCAATACGCAAACGAACCAGTTCTTTGTCACCAATATCTCGCAAAACGTAGGATAAAATGTGGTCCAAAATAAAAGTCAACACGAATGGAATATCCGCAAAAGGTACATGATCAAGCTCAGAAACCTGTAGGCAAGTAATATGTACAAGCAGATATATTCCTTCGAGAAATTAACACTGCAAAGCAAATGGCTAGTACTTACTTTAACTGTACAGCATTTGAAATGAAGCTTATACTTCTTGGAGAACTTCTGCCCACTATCCTCGATGGTGACGTGCTCGTCAATATCAAACGGTTGGTTAGGGACTTGCTCTTCCATTGGTCTTTGTCCTCCCATCTGGTCATCTTCAACCCAGTCGTCCATTGCGGCCAGGGCATCGCAGTCCCGCACATCCGCTGCAGATAATATGTTAGGCTCATCATCAAACACCCAGTCGTCTAAACTGGCCAACAGCGCACAGTCTTCCAAATCTCGTTCCGATAACTGGTCCATTATTATTAGAACAAAAAACAAGTATGTTAACTGAAGACTAATTTTCCGAACCAGAATTTTCTAAAAAAGCGCTAGTCGGTACCTGGCACCAAGCACGGTTAGGTACCTGTTACCAGGTAACTGTCCCGGGTACCATGTATGCAGTACTGTTGAGAAAAAACTCACAGACATCATTCCTTGATCATTTCTCTATCGTAAAAATGGCGCTGTCAAAATTTATTTTTGATGTAGAATTTCGGACATTCGTAAAGAAAGAAGATTATAGCTCTGCCTGGTGCCAATGTCTGCAGCCGAAGGCGTTTATGGTCTGGTCGTTTCCGAACTGCATGCCACCACCTTCCGTACCGACCAAAGGTCAAGTTGTTATCAGCTGGGGAGACGATGCCGTCACCCCACCAGTACTGGATGACGAAGGCGCTACGTGCTTTCGCTATGTTGTCCTGCTGCATCATGTTACTCGTACCGCTGACCGCTGGAAAATCGGACTGCATTGTGATGACGTAGCGCTAATTTTGGACTTACCGAGCAACATCTTGTCGGGCATTGGGACCGCTTCAGCGCAAGTATCCATATCGTTCATCACCCACACTAATGGTAAGTTATTACTCCCACTAGTTTGATTGTGAACTCTTCGATCAATTTTTGTTTGCGTTGTTAACAGCATCCGGATAACTGCAGCGTAACTCACCATTCGGAAAATTTGTTCTATCTATGCTAATATTTCTCTAACCTTAGTGTTCATACACGAGCTCAAAAATGGTTTTCATTGACTTTTGTGTTTCTTTTTACGCCTGTTTTGTGTATGTGACTTATTATATAAGATTGTTTCAGTTACACTATCTTCACCGATTTGTAGCTTTTTTTTTTGCGACAACTGTTTGTCCTTTTGGAATAAAAAACAGCTTCTGGCCACACTTTTATTTACTCTTCGTCACTAGAATCTTCAACATATTCATTATCGCGAACAATTAAATCGGGTTCTGTAGTGTTAAAACGAACAAACTGGAGCAGTGCTGGACGTTGGTCAATCAACTGTCGAATAGCCAGACAATTCAGAACAAGACAGCGTTCAAACTCAAAATCTTCCATTACTCGCACAAAACGCAAAAAGCAAGTACTGCGCTGTTTACCACGATAAAACTGGGATCGCAACGTGGTTGAGTACTGTCGGTAATTCAGTCGCGGAACCCACCTCTTTTTCGGTGCTGTTGCGGCGCTCTTCATGTCCACCACCCAAAGATCACCAAACAGATACAGTAAGATTCGACTAAATTCATGAGCGCTTACGTGCAACTGTGTCCAAGGCTCGGTAGTGACCACTAGCTCACAATGACCGTTAGTATGAATGTAGCAATGAAGCATGCCGGCTTTGATGGTTGGCTCGCGAGACTGCAGCTTCAGCATGACGTGGTCCTTTGAGCGGCGTTTCTTCTTTTCCTTGGTAATCAACGGGGACACGTGCGGTAAAGCCACGGGTGGTAAAATTGACGGTAGCATTGGAGAAGCGCTTATGTCAACGATCTGTACGAGCGCTGCATCATATGTCCAGTCTGGGACGTTTGACGATTCAGTGTTTGGCACGGGAAACTGATACTGGGTGTTAGGAATAAAACCGATCGAGGCCAGACAGTGGGCCAAACTAAAAAATAACGGTAACTTTATGCGACACAAAAAAAATATTCACCAGTACCAGAGATTTCTCACCAGTCATTCTGCGGTTTGAACTCTGCTAAAATTTCAACCGAAGCATCGTTATGTACTGTATTAGGCATCACGGCGTCATGGTCTGCCGGTGACGGTAGAGTAGCGCTATTTCCAAAGACAAATTCGTACACCCATTCAGAGCCTGATGGGTCAAATATTTCAGGTACAGCGCTAACAATGTTATTCGATTCACTAGGATAAATTTCCGCTTCTAAAGCGTCTAAAAATCTCCAGTCGACTTCCCCCATTTCTTACACGACAACTAAATCGTTGTCCCTGACAACAACACGCTGCATAGCATAACACGTACCTGGCCAGGTACCATATGTTGCGTTGCTATGGTAATTGTTGTTTACAACGCTAACTGAGTAAAATAAATAAGTAAATATGTTTATTATGTACATAGTTGAATGGTTATGAATGCACGATGTTTTACCCGTTATCGCAGGGGCAATGCGTTCTCACCATTTTCCCCTGCGATTGTGCACCCTTATTACTATTGGTATAACTATATATTCGTTGCATAGTTTTTTTGCACTGGGTAACTAAAGTAAACAAAAGGTTGCGTTGTGTCAGTAACGTTTATTAATATCATACAATTCTTGATAAGACAAATGAATAATTTCTCCGCAGGTCAAGCAGTTAATTTATTAACCATAAATTTTTCAGTATTATTCATTTGCAGTTAATAACAAACGACAATAACCACTTCAAAAACCATTTTCGTCGGGAACATAGTCATCATCATCATCATCGAAAGGTACATCGACAGACATATCGCTCTCATCGCTTAGGAACCAATCGCCGCTGTCGCTCTCACTGTCCGAACTTTCCCATAACATGGTGCGGGAGTGCAGGCGGGGAAAACGTAGACGAAGCGTGATGTCGAAATCAGTACGGCCACACACAGCATTATGGTTCAAATCCAGCACCCGCAAGTTCGGCAAAGCTTTCAAACCTTCAAACTGGAACGGATATTTGAAACGGTTATGGACCAGCGATAACTTCTCCAGAGCAGGACAGTTGGGAATAAGAAGGTCAACATCATCCAACAAATTGTCATTCAGCATCAGCACACGTAAAGCCGGTAGCAGTGGTAACCCAACTAAATTCTCAATTTCACAGCTCACTGCACTGAGCTTCTCAAGATGTTTAAAACGTTCCAGTTCTGACAAAACTATTGCATTAACCGAATACCCATCTAAAATTACTTCACACGTGCTGCTACATAATGTCTTAAGATACTCGTATGCAGACATGGTGCAAAATTAAGTATGTAAAGTGACGTACTCTTATTGAAAATAATAATGGCGATTTTTTATTTTTGGTTTCCTAAATTCGTTGTTTTTTTCCTTGACCATGTACATTGCAAGGTACTATGTGCCAGGTATCTTTACCTGGCCAGGTACTAGGTTGTTCTGTATAAATTGTGTGTGTAACGTGGACTGCGCTCGATCTTCCCATTCACAGAGTGCATTTGTAAAGGTTGCGTTGCTATGACAACTTTTTACCTACCACGTTACATACACCGATAACTGCTTCCACATCCACTCGTAAATTCAGTCGAGCTCGTTCGATCGTACCGGTCTACAATTTCTTAAACATTTTTTCATTCCTCATACAGCTTGTTTTTTCTCACTGACCAACAAGAATGCCTTTTTCGGAAGTAACAGTGTCCTCGTCCAGCAATGATAAGATTTTAGCGGAGCGGCAGGAGATTATACAAAAAGCGGCGCGCCGCCAACTTGATCAGGCCACAGAGCTGGAGAAAAAAGTTTGTCCTTGTTTTGAGTTCGAGTTTCCTTACTGCGATAATAACTAGAAATTCCAACGCTTTTTGCTGTAGTAGACTTTTATTCAGTTCTTACAAATAAATTTAATTCGTAGTATTTTCCGATGCTGTCTTGCCATCCATAATGAAATTCAAAATCTATAAATATTTCACCAGCCTAAATGTTTATAGCACCCGGATTGGTTGCCGGCTGAAATGCTCACGCTGGAGCACCACATCGAATGGTGCCAGAGTCACTTCCATGAAGCACTGGCGCTTGCCGCCGAGGCCCCGCGCTCTCCTGGGAAGCGTCCGTTCGAGGTGATTACGATCGAAGACGACGCTATGGTGAAGCATGAACCGGCACCGAAACGGCCCTGGATCCCAGTGAAGATGCGCGTGGACTTGTCAGAGTTATCAGTCCCCGCCATGCGCCCCCGCCAGCCAGTAGTGCCTACCGTGTCTCCAGCTTCTCCACCGCCTGCCATCGTGCCAACCGATCAGTACGGCTCGCTGGATGACTTCCAGATGCCCGCCAGCGTCGATGAAGTCATGGCCGCCCTGTCAGATATGGGCGGAAGTTTTGCTGGTTTCTATACACAGTCAGAAGAGCATCTTCTTGACATGACGGTTGATGAGTTAGACGCATACTTTAAGAATTCGTGAGGTTGTATATGCATGTGTTTAAGAAAATTCAGCTGCAGTTTTTTCCGGTTCGATTCAACCCGTTGGGCTGGACTAGAACCAGCCCAACTGGTGCCAACGCCGTAATCCGTTTTCGCAGGGGCTACAGCCCACTTGCGATAACAAAATATATAAGCTCATATTTACATCGCAGGGAATACAATGAACCCCCCCACTTTCCCCTGCGAAATCATTAATTCGCATTCACAGTACTAAAAAAATTGGCTCTAAATCCTATACATTATAAAATTGAAAAATGGCACACTACCACTCTTAACGTACTACTATACGCTATCAAGTCTGACTACGCAAAAATCTCTAAAAACTGCGCGTTGATGAGTCTGAAACTGGTTAGCCCCACATTTCCGCGCAAAGGTTGTGTAAACATTATTACGTTAGTATCAGTTTAAAAAACTTTGACCATTTGTAGTTAACTACCGTAAACTTGGCTGTCTTGCATCGCATGTTCCTAAATCCCGAAAATTAAATTGCATTGTTAAAAGGCTCCTTTTTATCCATCTTTTTAACAGCTTTCCTTTTCGCAGTTCGCTTTTACGGGACTCTTGTTTCTTTGTTATTGAACAGTGTTACCCGTATCTACGCAGCTACGTCAATGACCTTTTACGATACACTCCAACAACGAATGTTAAGTCGTTTTAATATCGTAAAGCGTATTCTGCACCTGTCAGAATGATTCCATCATTTCTGCCAAAAGCACACTACCACAAAATGGGACCGTCTAGCCACATGCCAATGCATACAGTTCACAGCGTTTCCAAGGACATTCCTCTCCGTTATCACACTTTCCAACATACCACCCAAGACTATCGATACACTTCCCATGAAATATGAAAGTTAGTTATGCAACAGCATGAACAACAGGTGCACGCGCCTGTCATGCGCATCCACGCATCCACACGCGACTGGCAGCGCGTTGTTAGTATTAGCGGTTCCCCTTGGGACGCGTTATGAGCGTTTAGCGGCTAGCATATCCCCGTCCTTAAGACTTTTGGTCCTCCAAAAGGAAGGGACGGTCAGGCTTCAGGCAGAAATCCCACGACGCGCAGTGACGGGTCCGTTTCCTTCTTCCAGGTCACACTGTCCTTGTTGACGACCACGCTCGAGGCTTCCTCCAGGTTCACAGGGGCGCTTCCGGATCCATGCATCCGAGCACCGCCGCCATCCTCCATGTCCGTCGTCGCTTCTCCCGTCGCTCGCGATCCTCGCTCGGATTTCCGTTTCCGGTTTCCAGCCCTCTGCGTCGGGCATCTCCATAGGCACGCGAACAGTTTGCGGCCATACTTCAAAAACAACACAAGCATACAGGCGCAAATCAGTATACCTGCAATACTTCCACCAATGCTCTCCCACAATTTCATTCGATAGAATAGTTCCGGCACTTGTGCGGACTTCGACACACTTTGCACAATTTGTCCAATATCAGCAACACCATGCTGATCCATTGTGCCGGCAAGTTGACCAAGCAAGCTGAATTGGGATGAGTGGTCTTTCTCCACTACCGCTTGCAGTGCCGATCCAGACAAGTCTGTGGACTCTTTGAAATGTGCCGTCAGGAGCAGGTGATTGACACTACTGACCGGTTTCACCAACACCCATAGTCCGTTTCTTGCTTCGTACGGTTTGCCGTTGAAGTTTACAAACCGCAGATTTCCAGTAACACTCGGTGTAACTGGCAAGAGTGTAACCGTCGGTAGCAATAGTGAAGTTTCCGCTCCTAGGCTGTGGTCTACACTTTGAGCCGTTGTGCACTTCGAAATCCAATGCCGCTGCACGACACTGGCGTATTATACCAAACGCTCCCATACTCTCCAGTGACTGGCATTTCCGAAGTTGCATTTCGCGCGCCGCTAGGACACCGGACAACCGCGACAGCGCGTAAACATTACTCAGGCGCGCACGGGCCATTTGGCAGTCGAGTGTATTCACCGCGTCGCCCACAGCATTCAGGTATTCAGTTTGCATGTCTTGTTCGAACTGCAGATGCGGCTGCAGGATTTGGTCCAGGTCAAGTGCAGTAAAGTTGTCACCACCAACATCCCGTCTGCCGCGGCGCAGTGGTCTCCTTCTCTTGAACTTGCTGGGCGCCGGTTTCCTGACTCTATTCAGCTAATCCCGTGCTTGACTGATATTCAGCGGTTTCCTGTCTTCAGTGTACAGTGTAACAAACAAGTCCGGCTGTTGCGTTATAGTAATCAACTGATAACGTACTGTACCACACACCGCTGTGACGTTTCCAAGGATGAAATCCAGTTGATGAACTGAGTCTCGTAATCGCAGTCCGTCCGCTTCGGCGTAGAGGCTTCCCTGCCACTGTGCCATTTTTTTCACTTCACATGGCTTCCTTACTGCTTCCACTTCTCTCCATACGAATGTACGCTGCCCTTGTACTGAGTATCCATAGGAACGTTTATGGCTGATTTCTCCAGTCACGCTTACCACCGGGCAACTGTCACAGTTCTGTTCTAAGGTAACTTCTTCCATTTCACAGTTTCTGGTTGTGAAATCTTTTATACTGTTCCAGCTCCCTTGACCAGTTGGTGTGGCGGGTCCTGCTTTAACTGCTTTAACCTGCGTCCTGCTTTAACCATAGGTGAGTTACCGCATTTCATTGTCTGCACCATCGTCCAACAGTCTTGTGCGCTGGTGGGCACATGCGCGACGTCAAGTGTGGTATCCGTCTGCCACAAAAACTCTCCGCGATATGTAGCTGGTTGTCCCACTGCCGGAATACATAACCTTTAAAGGTTTTCCCATCCGGCTTCCGAGTCCACAAGTCGAAGTTCACAGGCACAGACTTCAGGCTTGTATTCTGTGCTTTGCAGTTGAACAGTTGCTGGAAACTAACTACTCCCACATACTGCGGCTGGTTGCAGTTACAGACGTCCACTTTCACTCCGTAACTTCCGCTGACGATGCTGAGCACCAGCATCGACATAAACAACAGTCGGGACATCGTCGCTTGCGGCTCAATGCGCGAGTTAAATACCGTTGACGTGTTATGGTTACCGGCCGGCTGCTGCTGATGCCCGTTCATGTCATACGCCAAGGACGTACCGTACTCTTCGATGTAGCGCTTCGTGGTGCGTTCTCCTTTGTTTGCACGGCCCGAGCGGCGCGTTTCAACCACCGGCTCTGGTCCAACATTGTTGTACGGTTGTCCGTACAAGTCCACTCCGCCTGCCGGTTCCCCTTGGACTTCCCCTGTGGCTTCAGCTGGGTGAGTTTCCTCATTGTGTGCTTCGTCCATCTCGTCACCGGCGTCACTGCCGAATTCCTCATCGTTTGAGAAGTACCGCGTTTCATCCGTGTAGTCATCTTCCAGCTCCTGGTGGTCGATGGTCTCGTTACCAACACGATCACCATGCACGACCACAATGTCCTCTTCATCTTTGACCACCGTATCATTCAGCTCCTCGTCGTCGGAAACTGATTGACCACTTACTTCTTGGCCGCCACCGTCGCCATGGTCCATTTCCGCATTACTCCCGGCCGGCTCTTCCCAGCCTCCATGCGTGCTGCCAGCATTACCTTGCCCATCGACGTCTTCTGCATCAGATGACTCATTCCCGTCGCCGATGTAGAAGGTGGCTTTCT